TATTCATATAATATTACAGTAACAAAAATAAAATAAATTACAATCTCAGGTACATATAAAGCGATTACATTAATGGTAAAAGGAAGAAATAATAATCAAGGTTATGCACACTATTTACATCTATATACAGCAGTACCCTACATTATGTAGGAAAGTTAAGATCTTTTCCCAAGTGAGCCGCGAGCGGGCGTAGCTCTTTGTCTTCGAGTAGTTTAATATAATCAAATACTTAAATATAATACAAATATAATTTCTCCAAGTGTGAGTCATTTGACGGCCTTCTGGAAGAAGCTGGTATTTACGCGATGGATATGTTCCAAGACTGTTTCTCTATTTTCAGATCTTTGTGTAAAGTCTTATTTGACACAAGGTAGTGCGCATTCGTGAAGGTGCGCAGTAGTTTATTTTGAGCATTAGAAATATCCCTGTCTCTAATTGTTGCCTACGCGGGGGACGCATACGTGAAAATTGGCCGTATAACAGAAATGTATAAGTGCCTTTTTCTTCTTAAATCCAGTTTAGAGTGTTCATTAAGAATTGGGTTGAGACTTTGAATAACTCCTAGTGTTTTTCCTCTTACATGTGTCAGAATGCTTCTTCCAGGAAAACTTATCGTTGATGATGACACCTAAGTAATTCGCCTTGCAAACTCTGGGCAGTTCTATATCGAAGAGCTTCAATTTTTCAGTGATTTCCGTGGCAGAGTTTTTCTTTCTTATGATAAGAAGTTTAGATTTATCTGCAATTATCGAGATGCGCCGTTTAGTGCACCAGAATTCGATTTGCGGCATGATTTGTTGAAGTTTCTTGACAGCTAGATATGGACACACGGCAGTGCCGAGTCATCGGCGTAACAGCTTATGAAGTAATTGTAGTTTAACTTCATCTTTGGGAAGTCTGTCACGAAGAAAAGATATAAAATTGGACCTAATATTGACCCTTACGGGACGCCGGCATAGATTCTTTTGACATCCGAGATCTCTTTTCCAATAAAAACGTGAAATCTCTGCCTTTCATAAATGAGTAGACGAGGCACGTCAACACTTTTGAGAATCCGAGGGAACGAAGTTTGAAGATAAGACCCTCATGCCAGACGCGGTCAAAAGCTTTGGCCACGTCCAGCATGAGTAAAGCCACATTTTTTTTGTTATGCAGCGCACTGCCAATATATTCTGATAATCTGACCAGTTGTTTCGTGGTGGAAAGCGATTTTCGGAATCCGAACTCCTCCTCTGGTAGTTTCGCTAAATATGGCTGCATTCTGTGATAGATGATTCTTTCATATATTTTCCCTAAGACGGGAAGCAGACTAATCGGTCTAAATCCTTCTGGTCGGGAGGTATCTTTGCCAGCCTTAGGTAAGACAATTATCTTGGCTTTTTTCCAAGCAAGCGGGAAATATCTGTTAGTTAAGCATGCATTTAAGATGCTAGAATACAATGTAATTTCTCGATAAATTCTTGATCGCTAAGTTGGTTATTGCATCATAGCTAGGAGCCTACCTGTTTTTCAGCTTCCTTATAACTTCTTGGATTTCATGTGGAGAAGTACCAGATTGTTTTCTAAGTCATCCTGTGAGGTAAGCCAATCATTTATGCAATATCTTACATCATATGCGAAGTCGATATCACAAAGACTATCATTGGGTTTAAACTGACTTTCAAAGTGGTCTGCTAAGACATTTGCTTTATCTCTGTTTGTGAGAGCCACGCTATTATGAAGAAGTGTTTTATTCGCGACAGCCTTGCCTTTTTAAGTTTCTAACAAAGGACCAGAACGCATTGTCTGGCTCGTTAAAGTTCATGATTTTCTCGTCCCATAGGTCATTTCTGAGTTGATGAATTAACTGTCTAATTTCTTTGTTCAATCTATTTATTTCCGTTTTGGTATTCGGGTTCAATGTTCTGTTCCAGGCTTTCCTTAATCTGTTTCTTTCTTTAATTTTGTCTTTGATGTTCGGAGGGAGTTTCCTGGATGCCTGTTTGTCAGAAATTTTCTTGGTAGCAGTGTTGACTGCATTTAATAATACTATTAATGCAGTGCTCCGCAACCTTTTCTCACCTGCGCACAAAAAATCTTTCTGGAATTTCGTGGCACACCAAAGAGTTCCGAGTTATCAAGGAAGTGCCGAAAAAATTCAAATACTGACACACTTACAATCACACACACAACCACACAACAGTGAAATATATAAAAACATTTAAAATAGACATTATTAGGGAAAAAAATTGTCATTGTGTATTAAATACATGATAAAAAATTGCAAAATGTCAAATACATGTATTTGATTGCGGCACACCTATATCCTACTCATGGGACACCAGTGTGCCGCGGCACACCGGTTGCGGAGCACTGTATTAATGAACTGATGAACAGCGAGATCTATGTCCAGCTTAGTTCTTAACGCAGTACTCGGGAAAACATTATTACTTAGGATATTATTATACCGTTTCCAGTCAGTAATCTTTTTCTCCTGTTTTACTTTGTCCTTTAAAATAACAAGTGTAGCCATTATGGGCAGATGGTCCAAACTTAGATAATTTACTACTTCAGGATACGCTGGAATTAAAACTGAGGTAATGAGTAAATCTAGGATATCCCCTCTATCCGGGTCATGTGCCAAATATGTGAATTCCTCTGGTGCAAAGAAAAATACAGGTTGATTATTTATGAATTCAAAAAGATGTTCTCAGTTTATGTTTGTTTTACGACAATTCCATTCTTCATATTTCGCATTAAAATCCCCTGCTAATATTACAGGCAGATTAGTAAAGAGAATATCCTTCAACAATTCTTCATCGAATGAGCAGCGTGGCGGGTTATAAAGAGCCGTGAAATATGTATTCCCATAACAGAGAAGCTATACTGAGGCAGTGACATATTCCTGTCCATTATTTCTGTGCTGCTTAATCATGCATGATTGGAGAGAGTTTTACCTGCTGTGCTTTACCTGCTGAGTAATTTGGAAGCCTGCACTTTTGATCACGGTCACCAACGCAATTCGTTCCTTTTTTCCTTTTCCCACTATTGCCGTGTGTCGTCTTACCCTCCACGCGCTCATAAAACCTGTTTTTCTGCTGGTTCCACCTTTTACATGCTCGTGTACGCTTACCTATTTTCCATTCCATTTACCGCTATTATACTGGGCCTAGCCTGCGTGAATTTGCAGGCTTTTTGCCAGTTGTCTTCTAATATGGCATCCTGGAAGTAAGAACATCAGCAAAAGGTGTCACAGAAACAAGATGTGAAAAATAAAGGGAAAGGTGGCACTTTGCCACTGCAGAATTTTACATCGTGGGGTAGTGTAATAAATAATTCAAATAGTAGATGAGTTCACAAACATTAATAATATACAAAGATAATTTCAAGTAGCAAAAAAAACATAGTTCCAGATGAGAGTACCGATAATTGAGAGTCTTGATAAAATATGAAAAAAGTATTTACAATATTTACATGGAGAATAAAAGTCCAGTAGTTGACAATGTTAAACCTATTTGCCGTACAAGAGATGCATTTTTATCTCGAAGCAGTTGTTTTTTCTTCAGTTCAGTTCCTTTCATGCAATTTGATAAAATATGTAAATTCTCTTAATTTATTTCACCAGTGTAATTTGCATTCATATTAGAGTTTGAAAAATCAAAAAAGCATATTGAAACTTTTAAAATATTTAATAAGAAAATAATTAAATTTCTGATCTGAAAAAATAATAAATGGAGGTTTGGCAGTACACTATGACAAAAGTTTTCAGTAAAACTGCTACATATTTTTGAATTCATAAAGATGACATTTCATTAAAAACATTTCAAAGCAAAATTATTAAATAGAAAATCAATTATCATAATTGGGCCGAAGTCATCATCAAGTTAGGAAATAAAATATTATATTCAAAAGTATTACTCAATCTAATTCACCACTTCAAAAATCTAAGAGATCATTTGATCAAATTAATAAAATAGTTCCCAAATATTTTTCTTAATGATAATTTTACTGCACACTTAAACATCTCTCTCAAAGTTAATTTTTCCCTGAAAGAAAATTACTGAATAAGAATTATCGTTTATCATAAAAAAATTCATTAAAAAAAATCTTGATTTCTTCAGTGCTCAGTTTTCCACAAAACTTGATTTCAAGAAGAAATCTTCCAAACTTTGGCTATGCATAACATGATAACAAGAACTCGCAGGAAAATCTCTCAAGCTGTTATTTCCCTTCTACCAAAACTTGTACGAAAAGAACTTTCTCTTCGCTTCATGTACATAGAAAATAAATATCAGAATAATTTGGATGTTGAACCAAATTTATACATAAATGTTGTAGACATTAAACTAGATACTGCACTTCTAGTGGAACATCTAAAGGAACAGTACCATCTTACTGTAGAAAACAGTAATAAATATATTTTAATCTCTATAAAAATGATTATGGCAAAAAGCATATCATACAAAATGAAAATAGGCTTATGATTCTGGCAAAAAGCATATCATAAAAAAGGAGTTCCTGAACTCATAATGTTTAAGACTCGCTGGCATAGATCATTTCATGTGTACTAAAAAACTGTTAATTAAAACTATGTAGAGTTAAGTCGAAATCCGTTATTAAAACTATGTCCCTTTGTTAGATAAAAAATTGATGTCACATTGCAAAAGCTGAAGATTCTGTAGTTTTAGAGAAATATTATTACAGAATAAAAAATAAAATAGAAAATTTTTTTAATAACATTAATTTGTTGTCGCAAATTTAAGAAATTTATTTTAAATATATCATTAAATTGATACAAGCATCATTAATGTTTTAAAATACTCCAAGGTAATCTTTAGGAGAGATTTATTGGCAACTTCAGAGAACTAATAATTTCTTTCCCTCTTTTCATTGAAATTGGTAATTTCAGATAAAAGATATATATGTAATGCATATCTTTGATCTGAAATCTGATCTTACATCTTTCATATGTATGTCTATATGTAAAGTTTTTGAAACTTTATGTTTTACTAATAACACAATTTTTTTAACACACAACTTTTATTTAGTAACAAGATACAGGCACTAGTTAGCAGTGTAAAGTTCTACCTGGCAGATGATGCAAAACGATTTGGACAATGCACAAAATTAACAACATGAAAATAAATAATACATAAATTTTGATCACATTCATCAAAATTCTAAAATTACCAGAGATTTTTAATATACGTATCTTTCAAACTTAGAATTATTAAAAAAATGTAGACTAAAAATGAAAGCCCCAATTATTTAAGAATTACATCAATAAATTTTCAAGTTACAAAAACTGCATACATATAAATATCATAAATTTTACTAAAATTGAACATAATATACTTTCAAAATGCAATAAAAATACCAAAAGGAAAAAATGTTTATATAAATAAATATATCACAGTTTCCAATAAATATGTTTTACAATTTATATATGACTAGAATTTTAACAAAAAAGATGCTAAAACACACTAAGAGGGAAGGTGGATATTAAAGTTGATGTGCACACCTTGCATTTACATGACTAGATATAATTTACTGCAGTGTAAAATATTACAAAATCTGATACATCACAGCAGTATCTACAATTAAAATAATTGTTATGCAATTAACTAATGTAACTTAAAACAACTGCTGAAACATATTTCTTTAAACACTATACCCAATAGAAAATTAAGAAGTATTGAGTTAGTGTAGAATTACATTTCCTCTAAAGAAAACCAGTTTAATGCTAAAACCGAAATTCTTTAAAACTGCTATTTCAGTAAAAATGCATTCAAAAATAAAGTATTTTTAAAACCTCAGAAAACAAAAAAGTTCGGATTTACATGCAAAATAATTATGCAATATACAAACAAATAGTTAGTTAACATGTAAAATACATCTCTCGTGTTTAATTTAATGTTGCACAGTAAGAAAAAGAGAAAAAAAAAAAAAAATATTTTTCAATGAAAACAAAAAATATTTCAGATTTTCCAATTTTGGTGTGTTGGCATCTTATGAAACATTTAGCATAGTTATAGTTTCATTTGCAGTATATAATCATTGATTATTATCTATATCTAGCAAGAGACTGAAATACAGTTTGTTAATATAAAAAATAAACCATTTTATTACAAATTTTCAAAAAGTCGATTGATTTATTATTCCTTTCATGAATATAACTAGTTATCAACAACTATCTTTCCAAAAAATTATATAAATGATAAATTTACTTTAAAATTGATAAAGTACCATAGATAGCTATCAAAATTTGAAGAAAAATGGATGAAAGCAATTATATTTATGAAAATGCTGTCACTAATTTGTATTTAATACCGCTGTAAAAACTGAGGATATATAATATATAGAGATTTATATTAGGTATTAATGATTTCACCTGCTATAACAGTCAACTTTTAATGCAGAAAGGAAGCATAAAAATAAAGATAATTTGGATTTTAGCTGTCAGATAGTCTTAATAATAATCTGAATTAATACATGGAATAAAAAAAATAATAAAACAACCTTTTTCATGACCTAGAGTATTTTTCATACATTGAAACAATTTAGCATTCATTCTCAAAAAATGCCCAACAGCAGCCGAGTGGCAAAGTCACTGACAGCTGGTCATTAGATCCAGGGTTCGAATCCTGGCAAATGGGGTGGCTGCATGGGCGTCTTCGTGGTGTTCCTTATATGTAACGTGTATATGAGCCAGTTTTCCTTAGAAAGTCTTCCATGAAATATATTCTTCATCTTAGGCAAAATAGCTCTTGTGTGCTTTGCCATAATCAAACAAACTACTTTCAAAAAATATTAATTGCAGAAATTATTTTAGAGACATATAAAGAGAAATCCTGTGCATATTTAAATACAATCCCATTCACACACACATAATATGAACACCTAAATTAAACGACAATATTGACATGACAATATAATGAAAAACTAAAATAAATAAAGAAAATTACATGGAAAAATTATATGCATAAATAATTTATATTTGTAAAATATAAATTTTGTTGAATTCTTTATTTCCCTTAACACCCGAGAATAATCAAGATTTTAATTTTGACATAAACTTAAAAACCTGTGAATACTTACGTATTTTGACAATATCCTGTGTATAAATTTAAACCCCGAATAAATTTGTTGTATTGAATTAGTCACAAATGAGGCCACAGGATGGCATACGAAGTCTACTTTGATCTGTTTTACAATTACTTATTCTAAAGTGGTCAAGGTTAGTAGTTCTAACAGTCTACTAACCTTGACTTGTTGCGCTCGCTATGTTCTATTGTATTGTACTGGCTTTTTTTTTTCATTAGTCAGTCAGAAAGTGACATTTCTGATAGCAAGAGTAGGTCAAAAAAGTGATTCTAGAGATGTTAGTTTTTACAATCACGGGAAAAAGACTTGACTGCAGTGATGCCCCTCGCATCTCCAAATAGACCGAAAATTAAAAAGAACATTATAAGAACGGAATTATTATTTTAAACAAAATATCTGCTCCTAAGACATTTTATTCTATGTGGTGTTATTTTTTAAAAGCAATGCTTATGCTCGGGATTTTAATATACACTTTTTAACACTCTCTAATTATTCCTTAAATGTATAATTTATTAAATTCTTGTTGCAAAAACCATGTATTCATAACAAAGTTTAAAATTCAACAGTAAAAAAAAGTGGAAATTTTGGACACTTTTTATGAAATAATTGTTAAGGGGTTACAAAATGCTGATAACGTAAGAGGTTAAAAAAATATAAATGCAAAAACTTAATATCTTTTAAACAATTATATTGCAATTCCTTTACTTTTTCTCAAATTCCTCATTTTAAATGCACACGTTTTAACATCTAACAACTTAAATAAATACATTTCTTCTAACAAGATCAAAACAGTAAGAAAGTATAACAAAATTTGTATATTTCTTTTACAGACTAAAATTACAATATAGACCAGCTACACTTTGAAATATTTTCATAAAATTAAGAGAAAACATAATAAATAAAAATATACTACAAAAGATTTTACATATTTTACATAATAATACATTTTATTATAATACTGGAACACAGTTCCCATTCTCTGAGAAATTAATTTTCATTTTGATGAAAATGAAAGCTTTAAGTTGCTGCTCATTAAAAACAAGGGGGGAAAACTGCAATTTCTATTATAATAAAATTTCTGCGAAAAGTTTTTACCACCTTTAATATCCTTAGAATTTTAAATATAATTTTACTTTTCTATTTCAAAAATTCCTCCCTTTAAAATAACTTTTCTTGAAACCAAAAATCTTCAAAACTACTACTACTATTTACCATCACAAGACTTGAAAAATCTTCAAGCTGCAAGAGATTATTATTAAAGTAGCTTTGAGCTGCTATTTTATTTTTAAGATAAACAGCTTTGTTTTTCCCTAAAAGCTTGTAGCTTGATATAACAATATCTGCAGCAACCAGCTACAACATTGAAAAACCTCTTCCACATTATGCAGATTCCTGTCTCAGCCCATGAACAGTGTCTTTAAACATTTGGCTCGTAGGTTTCATGTTCTATATTTAATTTAACCTTAACAAACAAACAAAAAAGAACTAAAGATTTATTTGATTTCATCAAAAGTAAAATCATTATAACATAGTATATTAGTACAAAAGCATTTTCAATATAGTAGTTTTAATACTCTGTACATATATGCAATAATTAGTACCAATTTGCAAATGATATTATCAATTGCATAAAAGCATCTGGTAACAAAAAGCAAATTAGTCTGAACAAATATCTCATTTTCTTCAAAAGAATTATCCTATTTATTACAAAGCTTAGGAAAGTCCGAAAGTCCTTTAAGTTCAGTCCCATCCATAAGAATGAATTTCACTTTGTAACAATTTTATAAATTGTAAGTGAATTCTAACAAAATATACTATCAACTAAATATTGTTATATCTAATTAATGGCAATCATATTAGCAGTTACTTTCCCATAAAAAATCATGTCTTTTACCAAAACTTAGTTGCAAAATCCTTCCAGTTATATACAGATGGAGCAGCAGAACACGCATAACAGACAAAATATTGGGGGTGGGGGGAAACCCAGAAGAATCAGAACTAGTATAAATTTAAAGAACACATGGTTTTATTCCAGTTTTTAGTATTTGTAAATGAAAACTATGCATATAATGAATGCAGATCTGTAACAAAGATAAACAATTAAAAAGTCAACAAATGTACAACTAATAATATGAGGAACTAATGAAATAGGAAGCAAAAATATTCAATACTGTCATATGCGTGAAAAAATAATGAATGATACTATTATACATACTTTGATTTTAAAAATTAAAATATTTCTCTTCAGTAAGTATTGTATGATAAACATAACATTTAGATGCTTGCTAAAAATGCAGTAAAAACATACCACATCACCTTCAGATAATAATCTTCAAACGGGCAGATAATTTCCTCTTGGTTTGTAAAATAACTGGCCACACAAAAATCTTCTCTTAAGTTCTGTTTTCAGTAGTCTTATTTCTTTATCAACTTTTTTTAAAAGACTATGATTCTCTAAGGCTCGGCGAGATAAGTAAGGCAAAACTTCTTCAATTGGCCCATATGGAACATATTTATACACAGAATATCCAGCTTGGCCTAAAAATTTAAAATCAGTTTTAAAAATGCATATTTAGTTAAACATATTATTTTTTTTTTATAAAACATGCCTAAAAATTAAACACAATAAACTTGAAGAATATACAAGTTCTTTAGAAATATTTTACAAAATAAAATATTATTACAAATGAAATTACACATTTTATTTACAATCCAAAAGTTTTACTTTAATTCTTTAATTACGAAATAAGCTATATATATAGTTATATTAATGTGCAGGTGCTCTGTCATCCTGAAATCAAATGCATCGACGAATAGGCATAGGAACATCATTCAGCATGCCTGGCAGAACCTCATACAAGGTTAATGTAACCATCAGGTCTTTATGGGAGAATGTACAGACCAAGTAAACAGTTTCCTACAATACCAATATACACATTGAGGGCAAATTTGCACTGTGAGGCATGCATATGTTTAGCATGTGGGTTTTCATCTGCCCAAGTATGCAAGTTGTGAATGTTCACCACACCCTCTAGTGACAACATACATAGCCTGATCAATGAAGTGAGCACTTGCTGTGAAGATTCAGTCTGTAGCATTTTTTTCCCCCCAAAAAACCACCATGCAGATTCCATGCACTTGTTGTAATCTTCTGGTTCCAATGCCTGGACATCTTATAAATGAAAAGGATGCAGTCCTTTGTCATGTAATATATGCCAGATGGTGGAATGAGAGATACAACTTGTGTACTTGTTGAAGGATTATGCTCCAGTTCTTGGAGAATGCTTTTTTCAGAGAAAACTGTCCGAGTTATTCGTTGGCGACCAGCCTTTGCTTGTGCACATTGAATGAGCTGGTTTTGCACAATCGTCAATGAACAATGAATAGCCACCTTTCTATCAAAATATTTCTCAGGATACATTCGCACAGCTTCTTGTCCATTGCAGTAGGCTATGCCATAAATCAACTACTGTCAGCCATTTCATGGTATGTGCAACTAGCCATGTTACTCTCAATGCATCTACGGCTTGAACGAAGACAGGCATTTGTGACCCTATGTTCCTATATGATTTTTTATCCTTGCTGTATGCTTGATTTGCCATGTCACTTGGTAAACATTTTTTTTTTTTTGAATAACTCTTATATATGGCACATGTTTTTAGATCTGCTCATGAAGATCTGTACTGAAACCACATTTAATAGCTAAATTTGTATAATTACTTATTTTAGTCTTAGTTTTCAAAAACTTCTATTCATTAAGATGATATTTACATAATCATAGAAAACAAAATTATTTTAAATTATAAACCAATATATATCAAGGGACAAAATAATCTCAAGACTAGATAAAAGCAGTTATGACACTTGGAGGGTTAAATAATGGTAGCTGCTGACCCTTTTGGAATTTTACTTACTATATTGAAAAAGCTCTTGATTGAAAATTTATGTTATTTACAATGCTTACTCTAAGTTTAAAACATTCTTCAAGACTGAATTGAGTTTATCTAAAAATATTTCAGTACATCAAATGATACAATGTCAGTCAATTTTTATATTTTATGTTAAACTTTTTTAAAACTAAAATGAAATCAAAGTTTGCAGGTAAACATTTAAAATGATAAATAGTAAATATATATATATATATATATATATATATTATATATTAAATTTAATATATAAATATTAATTTTATTCAAATACATTCTTATTCAAATTACTTTCCACAGATTTCCTTATTGTTTACAAAAATGGCCAATGCACATTCAAAACTGGAATTTTAATTTTGGTATAATAACTCTATAATAATAACAGGAACAGAAAAATTATATTTTACTAGGGGGGGAGGATAAAATCAAATAAATTCCCCCAAAAATTTTCAGATACATACCAAGCAGAAAACTGACTTGATCACACATGCCAAATAATTGCCCAAAACAAACTACTTTATGATCAGGCTGGATACCAAGCTCTTTCATTCTAATAAAAAACATACACAAATATGATTTATTTTGCATACATGTGTATACATGCATATACTGCCCACATATGTTGCATATTTTGCATATATATATAAAACATATCAAATGTTGTATGATCTTAAATCCATTTAGTGCGAATACAAGTTATTACTACTTACGCAATTGCTGCAAAGTTAAGAAATTGAGTTTAATTAAATTTAATTTAAATACAATTCAATTAAATAATTCTTTGCACCATTGCTGCAAGAAATGAAATTTAAATTTAAACAAATTTAAATTTAAATTTTAATTTTAAAAAACATGTATAAAAGTAAAAAGTAAATTTAAAGCAAAAAAAATTTATTTTAAAATATTTAAAAAAAAAAAATGTGTAAACTTATAAAAGATTTAATTCTTGAACTAATCTACAATATCATTTAAATTCAGAAGCATAAGCAAATCAAGTGCAAAACCAATCAATGAAAATAAATTCACTAATTTAGCAAATTAAAATTAAACAAACAATTTTTTAAAAGCTATGAAGCTGTTGGCGGCAGGAGACGATTCAGGGGAAGTGCCTCCAAACTAACTCCCATATCAATCGTGTTTGTCATTCTGCAGGCGTCTCATGCACTGAAAAAATTTTTTTTTTTTAAGTTATTTAAATGACTTATTTGTTTCTAAAGTAATAGATTTCCTTTTAGACTTTTATTTTAATTACTAATTTCTTAAGGTACCACTTTATTGGTATTTCTTTTTGGACATTCTTCACTATGTATTTACTTTTGATTTTTAATTTTACACTTGCCTTCATGAAGGACGAAACACGAATTGAATGATTGTAGACGTAGGTTTGGAGGAAATTTCCACTTGATTAGTCAGTCTCCTGCCTGCTCAACAGTCATTCATTTGCATTTTTAAAAATTTTTGGTTAATTTTAATTGCTAATTAGGAATATTTTCATTGATGGTTTGCACTTATGCTTGCTTCCATTAATGATATTAAGATTGTTCAAGAATTAATTTTTTAAGTTACAAATTTTTTTTTTTTTTTTTTTAAATTTTTTTTTTGGGTTTAAATTTGCTTTTAATTTGGCTTTAAATTTACTTTTATATGTGTTGTTAAATTTAAATTTAAATTTGTTTAAATTTATATATAGATATATATATGCGCAATTTTGCACTTTTTGCATACATATACATGGTGTGCAAAAATTAAGGACGAGACGGTTTTTTCAATATAACTTTGTACAAAAGCTTTCCAAATCAACACATTTAATACCGTAAGATCCCCAATACGTAAGGACATGAGTAATGTAAGCAACACTTACTAAAAGAGAAATCAGAGGGATAAAAAGAAGCTTTATTGAAAAAGTAGCATGGAGCGCAATGCGACTGAAGGCCGAAACATCCCTGTGATGGGTGTCCAGCAAGAAACATCCGGTCTTTAATAGGGGATATGATCTCCCCTGACTGCTAGGCAGGTTTCACAGCGTCTGCCCATGCTGAGAATGAGGGTGTCAATGAGTTGTTGAGGCATTGCTGCCCATTCGTCTTGCAGCGCCAATCGAAGCTCCGGAATCGTTACTGGTGGTAAGGTACGAGCTGCCAAGCGTCTGCCTAGAAAATCCCATACATGCTCGATGGGATTGAGATCCGGAGATCGTGCTGGCCAATCCATACGTTCAATATCCTCACTCTCTAAGAGCTGTTCGGCAGCTACTGTGCGATGACATGGTGCATTGTCGTCCATGAAAAGGAACTGCGGACCCATAGCGCCTCTAAAAAAACGCACATATGGAAGAAGAATCTCGTTACAATAACGGGTCCCGTTGACTGAACCTGCGTCGAAGATGTGAAGGTCTGTACGACTACCAAGCGTGATGCCTCCCCAAACGAGAACACCGCCACCTCCATACCTGTCCCTTTCAATGATGTTCGAGGGATGATTGCGGCTTCCCCGCTCTCTCCAGATGAGTATGCGATGAGAATCGCTACTCAGACTGAATCTGCTCTCATCTGTAAAGAGTACTCGTCCCCATTCATTGTCTCTCCCAATTCCGGTGTTCCCGGCACCACAGAGAACGCCTTCTCCGATGGGCAGGCGTTAGAGGTACACACCCTACAGGGCGTCGTGCAAACAGACCACCACCGTGCAGGCTTCTGTCCACGGTAAAAAGCGATATCGGTCGTCCAGTCGCCTGTGTCGTGTGTCTAGCGATTTCTCCCGCTGCCTGCCGCCTGTTTCTTCTGGCCTGTAAGGCAATATACCGGTCATCTGCGGGTGTGGTTCCTCATGGACGATCACTACTAAACCCCCGGATAGCTGTTCCTGTAGTTTGAAATTGTCTCCAAAGTTGTGAAACGGTGCTGTGAGCAATTCCGAACTCTGCAGCCACACTTGTCACTCGGCGGCCTTCCTCCAACTTCCCAATGAATGACTCCAACTCCAATCTCCACATGATTCCACCTCGGGTAAAAGCATCCAGATGTCGTCTAACAGATTGATTATTCGCCATTTCTCGTTGAGGCAGCAACTCGGTGTGATTTTAACTGCTATACGGCGTGCAATCTCTTTGCCAGAAATACTGATCTTACACCGACAACATGCTTTATACTACTCAGACACTCTCCCCATTACGTCTACCTGCATATCTGCGCATGTGCTACCGTACATCACCTTACTTAATCTCCTGATTGGTCTTTCTGTCCGCTCTGCTCTTCGTTCAGCTGATATGCTAATTTTTCGACTTCGTCCTTAATTTTTGCACACCAGTGTATGAGATTTAACATAACAACATATAAAATAAGGAATTATATACTAGAAATTTGAAAAAATAATTTTAAAAAAATATTTGTGAATTTGTTTGCATTCTATCACAACAGAATATCATTAGACAGTATTATAAATCATGAAGCTGATAATGACGCAGGTTGTGATTAAAAATCTTTCAAAAAATGATAAGTTCGTATGCTCTCTAATATTACAGCAATATTAATAAAAATATAGATTAATTATCCTAATATAATTGCATAAGCTACACTGTACGATTCATATTAAGCATCTTAATTTATGAGCTGTATAACTAATATAAAACAAATATTTCAATGATTAGAAATAAAACTAATTAATAATAAACATATTTTAGTTAGTTATTTTATTTTAAAATATTCAAACTAATGACTAATTTGAATATTTTGACCCAATGAACTATAATTATACATTTGGCCTGAATGAATGTCTGAATGAATTATATACACTAAGTCAAAACTCACTGACTACCTACTCAGTACTGTTTTATGCAACCCTTGCCTTGCAAAACAACTGCAATTCACCTTGGCATGGATGCCACAAGTTCTTGGTAGATGATTGGAGACAGGTGGTAGCAAATGTCTAAATAACATTCACTGAACTACTCCAACACAATTTGAGCCTTGTGACATGGGGGCGTTGTCCTGTTAGAAGATTCCATTTCCAGTTGATACGAAAGATGCCATGTAAGGGTGCAACTGATCTGCAACTATGTTCAGATAGTCTGCAGCTTTCATGGTCTGTTCTACTATAACTAAGGGTCCCAGAGCCACCCATGAAAACGTCCCCCAAAGCATAATACCACTACCACTAGCCTGTGTATGTATGACCTGCTGTACAAGGGGGAAAGCAACTGTTCACCTGGAAAACGGCATACCCTGGCATGACCATCAACGTGATGAATGAGAAATCTTGATTCATTCAACTAGGTAACTGTCTTCTACTTATCCATGATCCATTCTTGATGTTCCCGGGCCCACTGTAGGAGTATTTGACAATGATGCTGGGTCAACAGATGCACATGAGTGGAATGTATATGCACAGTCCTATATCCAACAGTGTCCGCTTAACTGTGTATTCTGAAACACTTGCACTTAGACCTGCATTGTATTGTGTTTTCAGCTGAACCACAGTCTCGCACCAATTTTGCTGTACCAAGTGTGACAATCTGCAACATCCTTTTTTTTTTTTTTTTGGATAACATGTGGATGTCTAACATCTTGGCATCTACTGCTAGTTTCACTGTCATTTATCCACTTTGCATAAATATTAACAACGGCAGATAGTGAGCAACCAACCAATCAGGCAGTTATGGAGATGCTCATTCCTAGTCTTTGTGCCATTACAATCTGCTCTCTATCAAATTCGTTTCAATCAGCAGCCCTTCTCATTACTCACAAAAGTAAGTGCAAGAAGGATTCCTTACCTTCTCCAGCAGAAGTTAAATATCATTCCCACTTAATTACGTGCCCTTCACATCACCCAGACAAGTTCATTGAAAAATATGGGGATGGTCATAATGTTTTGGCTCATCAGCATATTTTACCTCTTGGTGAACTTGCTTGACTTGGCAGTGGCATACATAAGTGGTAGAATTAGATAAAACAGTGCATTAATAAATCAATACAAAATATACTTTACCAAAAGAACTACAAAATCAATGGACATAAGTATTGTGCTGTTCAACAAACAAGCAAGACAGATATACAATATAAAATGCTAAAGCACTTGGCAGTTGTATTCCCTGTTTGAATGGACGGGGTTGTCCACTTTATTGCCCGTCTTTTTCCCCCATTTTACAGGCTGAAAAGTGGGGTTAAATGTCAAATTTGACGTCCCTGGGTTTTCAACCACTTATCTCTTTCAAAGATCTCCCTTTTGCGACATAGATGCACCCCTCTGAAATCCATTTAAACTACACAAAGATCGTTGTTTGCAAATAGGAGGTGATTTCTTAACGGGGGGAAAGCATTCGATTCAAGATTTCCCGTCTTTTGGTAGCTTTTACAGCTACCAAAGCCCCGGCCTCAAAAGGTTAATGAATGCTAAAGCACTTAAGTAAACACACCACTCACAGCCCTCATAACATAGAATTTCCTTCAAAAATCTAACAAAAGTAGTTTTTATATATGAACTACTGTAAATATTAACATATTTTATTACTGGAATCAAATTTTCGAAATTGTAATTATCAGCATTTATATGTAATCAATTCATAAAAATTTATTACAGCATTTACAATCCTTGTTAAGTTTCCATAACGTGAGATTCAAAACACATTCTTTGAAATACCAATATGTGATTCAATACATATTCTTTGAAAGACACAGATTTCACTTCTGAGACATGCAAAATCTTGCATTTCAGGAATTAAAAAAAAAAAAAAAAAAAAAAAAAAAAAAAAAAAAAAAAAAAACACAGAAAAAAACTACTCTTATATGCGCCCTCAGGTGGCCAAATTTCTTGCCAAACATTTTGGCGAGAAACTTCGCGCTGCTATATTACTACCTAAATTTTTTGTCTACATTTTGAACTTTAAGCCTAAAATGTCTCCAACATGCAAAAACCCCGTTTTGAACACACAATTTAAGCTAAAAATCCGAAACAAAAACAAAAAATTTAGATAGCAAAAACGTAAAGTTTCTTACCAAAAATATTTGAGAAGAATCCATGTACACAGCGATATATTTAAACTTAAAAAAACATCTACGAATTGCACAATCTAGGCATTGCGCACAAATCAACAAAATAACTAAAATTACAAACAATTAAAAAAACAACAATAACAACAGAAATTCATAGTAAAAAAAATGAACATAACATTCTACAAAATAAAAACAATAAAATAAAATGCACTTACCATAATACATTCATTAACAAAATTTCGCCAGTCACACAACGTTTGTGAACAAAAGTGTCACGATTTTGCAATATCACACGTCTTTCTGCAATTCAAAATTTCGAAAGTAATGATAAAAACTTCCTCCAAAGTTAACTTACTACACGAAAACCACAATCCAAATCTTAAACTCCGCTGACAGCCACATACTTTACCAGCAAGCATTTGACTGCAAATCCACACAAAAACTATCAGAAACGCCCTTCTTCGTCCGAGTTCTCATAGCAGCTCAGCATTTCGGACTTCGTTTTAAAAGTCCCACAGAAATTCCAAAAATACACTTCGATCTTCATAAACACACCCCGTGAACAAAAGACTCGTTAACAACTCCAACATCATTCCTTTTAATACTAAATTTACTTTTTACACAATCTAAAATAGTGACTGAAACCTTGCCACCTAGTCTATCATTGCAACATAGGCCATTTCAAAACACGCAAGACACGAACCAACGAGCAATTAAACCACTCCAGCAAAAGAGTTTTTAATGTCAAAAGGGTTGCCATACAACACACAATCGCGCCAAAAACCAGTGCAGAACACATATCGCCACATTTGGTGATCTTAGGGTGTATATAAGAGTAGAGCCAAAAATAGTTATAAACTTTATTTATATATTTTGTAACTTATTCAAAAATATCAGTGCAAACTGTTGAATACTTCTTTTATTTGCTTCTTTATAAACACTTTTCCAAGATATTTGAATTTTAGTAAGAATCATTCAATTAAAATAAACAAATGTATAATTTTTTAACATATCAAATGATTTGTTAATAAATCTGAACCTCTTAGGCTATTTTTTAAAAGTGGTTCTTTTTCTGAAATAAAAATGTGAAGGCAGACATTAGATTTACTATATTTTTCATTCTTCCTTCATATCTAAAGTTTGAAAACATTTACAAAGAAATTAATAATATATTTTATATAATTATAAATGCTTACTTTTATGTGTAATGAAATACACAATAAATATAGAAGATTGCTGGATTTGAAAGAGCTGTGATTTTCAGATGACAAATCTTAAGAATCAAATTTTCAGATGATAGGTCTTAAAAATATAAATATCTGAATAAAGAGCATGTTTCCTTCCTCCTACCATTTTCTGTGAAGATAACATTCCTGTGAACCTCTTGTAAAGACAAATTATCATAAAGTGACGAAGCAATTCCCTTAATTTATATGAGAAAATATGAACACACCCTTGTTTTAAAATAATAATATAATAATAAAATACTACAATCTGCAAAGTCAGTAATAATGGTTTTTCACAAAAGCAGTATTAAATGAAATTTCACAAAGCATGGGATACCTGTACATGGTGTTATGTATTAATCGTTATATTTATATTTTTTTTAAGCTTAAGTTGTTTTGCTTATTTCAGTTTTGATTTGTAATTGAAGTTCTAATTTTTTTTTTTTTTTTTTTTTTTTTGTTGTTTTAAAGTGGTTGTAAGTTTAAATTGTAACTTTTGTAAACTTTAAGTTTTTGGTTAGGTTGCTTTTAAAAGTTCTGAGTTGAAGTTGTTTAATTTTAATTTGAGTTTAGGGACTTAAGATTTTTGTTTTTGTTCTAGTTGTTTTGACCCTTAAGGTTGTTTAACTTTTAACTTTAATTTTTTATTTTAAAACTTTGCTGTTGCACTTTTGTGTGTTAATTTTTTTTCCTTAACTTTGAGTAATTTAATTGGTATCCCTCTTTCTTTTAACGTTAAACGAATACATACTTTCTGACTGGCGGTAGAAGAAAAAAAATAATAATTTGATTCTATTTGTATTTCTTTTGGATAAATTGTGTTTAGTCTCAATTGGTGGCTGAGGAAACAATTATTACAGTGCTGACATTTTTATTATGTAATTATAATGTTGTGTAATTAGTAGCTTCATTTTTTTTAATTTACCAAAGTCATTTTGTATTAACTTAGTTCAGAGATTTTCACCCCTTGCCCTCTTTCCTTCAGCGGAAATTCTTATCAGCAATTGTACTGCACCCCAAAATTCCTTTCGGCTAAGCGTTCCACCATGTGTGGGGGGCGAAAGTGTTTGATAGTTTTACCATGTGGTTTTCACGAAAAGAGGACCCTGTTTTGCTGGACAAGGCTAGCAGGGTGATGTTCTACAGCATACTTATGGTGGGGGAAAATATACGTTGAGACAGAAGATCTGCATTATCGACTGGGACCCTGGAGCGAGGCTAGTTTCTTTCCCCCTGTTTCCGCCTGCAGTTGTGATGACACATTGGTGTGGCCTTGGAAGTTGAACGATGGAATGGATGGAATGGCGAGAAACGGCTCCTTTTGGTAGTCGGGAAACCCTTTCCCGTGAAGATCCAGAGTGTGGGTTGCCTTTTTTTGGCTTCCTGCTAGTCACCATCTACGCCAAGTTTTCAAAAAACGCACCAGCTACTAAAACGGCTAAAAACGGCTGCGCAGTGTTTTTTTCGAGAGGGCTTCGGGAGACGGAGTCAGAGAGTGACGGAGACGACAGAAGAGAGACGGAAAAAAGAAATTTCGACGTTGACACTTATAAGATGACAACTTGGGACGAGCAGCTTGGAGTAGATGAGCCTTCATCTTCTGACGTAGGCAACGTAAATTAACCAACACCGAAGAGAGGCTGCAACACCTATATTTCTAAAACCCTAAAATTTATGCTGTCATGATGGCCTATGGAGGGAAGACCTGTGTCCTGCTGGTTGGAAGCAGTAATAGGAGGGAAGCCTGGCCTCCGACCAAATAGCTTGGTTGAGTCTCGTCAATCTAACCCCTTTTGCTTTCTAATTTCAGATACTATCCCAAGTTTTCTCCGAGAAATAAGTTTCGCTAACAAAACTCAAATATATGAAGGATCCCTAATATGTTAAAGAAGGGTATGTCATCCTTTTCTGTTGTTTTCACATTAGTTCTTTAATTGATCCAGCCACCCCGTTTATTTGTAATGTTTAGTGAGGTCATGACTTTCTTTTTTTGTATTGTAATCATAATATTTTCCTACCTTAAATAAACGTAAGTTGATTTTATTCTCCTGTCTGTATTTATTGTAATTATCTTTTACACTGGACCTTAAACATAGAATGGGTTTTGTTTAACACAACGCAACTTCCTGGAAATTATTGATTTGTTTACATATTTTGTTTTTATGTTTCACTATGACTGCTCACAATGGCATGTTATTGTTAAAATATAGATTGATATGTTCAGTTAAGTGACTTATACACACAGTTACCTACCGCATAACACAGAACGAACTTTTTCTCTAGTTGTTTCAAAAATATGGTGTTCATTTGTAATTATTAAGTATGAATTTATGTTGTTTATATAACAATGGCTATCTCTTTCAAACACAGCAACTCTTTGATACTCAAAAAGGCATATATGCAAGAATTTTCAATTCTAAAAACACATACTTTTCAACAGCAAATCTTATGGTATTTTCGTTGTGAGTTGCAACCATGACACCAATTTTCTTCTCCTTCCCAGCTCGAATGTCATTATCAATTTGCCGTAAAATTTCACTCAATGTTTTATGATACATTTCAGAAGTAGCTTCATATGTTGGGTTAATAGGATCTTCATACCCAATTTCCCGAGCCCGAATTCGCTCCTGTAACAGAATTCATTTAATATTTACAATAAAAATAGACACATACAAAAATCATGATGTAGTATATAATCCGCCACCCCTTATTGCTTATAGTAAGCAAACATATTAAAAACAGTAAATCAGAAACCTACCAATGTTTACATTATAGATGCAGCAAATGAAGAATAAAATACTTTTAAATAAAAACTGGTATGTATTTTACTCCATGGCAAAGAATTTAACCTTCAAGCCCTTAAAAAATAAATAAAATTTTAATAAATTTTCTAAAACAACTTAATTACTTAGACAGTACATTAACAACCTTTTGACTCATCTACCATATATTTTTTAAAATATTTATAAATAATGAAATATGCATAATTTTAATGAAACTTACTATTTCCTGTTTTCCTTGCCTAAGATATATCCTTGATGGAAGGACATTATGCAAGATAGATTGAGAAACATTTTTACACAATCTTGTTTATACATGGGTATGTTTTTTTATATGACCTTGATTTAACAGTATTTTTTTGGGGGGGATCTCTTTTAACAAGAACTGTTTTGATTAACATAGCTCAGGTAGTATCTTTTTAAAAATCTTCCCCTCAGTGTAAAAATATTCCAATTCAACAAAAATTCAAAAAATTCTCAGAATTTATTTTTATAATATAAATACCATTTATGATTACAATTTTTGAATAAAAGTCAAACCTTAAATAAGCCCAGCTTATAAGAAGCTCTTGGATATAGCAAAAAAAAACTTTCGGTCCCTTCCAATTTCATACACTTAACACCTTAACGCATTTGCCCGTGTCTCACACGGGCGAAAGTTCCGGCAAATTTTGCACCCATGCCCGTGTCTCACACGTGCGCCCTTGTATCTCGCGTTATTTTATTTCTAATGCTTTTCTGAGATCCGTTCCAGTAAAAATAATATAGGCTAGTTATAATTAAACTTATTTGACAAGATGGCACCACTATTCGCATTTTCTTGTGTAAACCACGTGGCGCATTTTGATGATTAGCTATAAGTTTGCTAGGAATTCTTTGCTATAAAGTAGTCGTTTGGTGTGGAAAAGGTAATATATCCATTTTTTATTACGTAAATTGAATAAAAGTAAGCAGTTAACTGCAAATTATATTACTAAGTGTTTTTGCAATTTAAAAAAAGTTATCTGATAATGAGCGACTCTGACGATGACAATTTTGAATAGCCAATTTATCAGACAGTTTCAGCGATGAGAGAGTGATGATTTTCTTGAGTGATGGAAGTGAAATCGGAAGATAATGACAACGAGATTTTGGATATAGCAAGGATTGGTATCAAATTAGTATAAAATCAACCAATGTTGCACCACCGAGATTTCGATTTGAAGCTAACCCTGGCATGATTATGCAAGAAACAAAAAATAGGTGATTTTTTGACCGAAAATTAGAAATTAATGTGTGCCTTAAGGGGTTAATGTTATTTTATACTATTATAGCCATCTCCAAGTGTATGAAAATGAGATATAAAAATTGTATATATATTTTAGTTTAAATTTTTTTTAAAAATTTTCACATTTTTAGTGGAAAGTTTTGCAAGTTTTAATAAAAAATTACGAATTCTTAAAATCATCCACTTTCTGGATCCATCCTTAATTTCCTTTTACCTTTATCTCCCACTTTTCTCTGTGTTCTAAACAAAAGTTAAATGAGATAGGTATGGTATTCAACCATTAATGAAAAAGGATACAATAAGCATATACTGTACCACCATATGATGTACATGACTACTGAACTCCCCCCTCCCCCCAAAAAAACAACAAAAAATAAATGTGCACTCTGGTTTCATTCAAATTCTTTGATTGAGCTGCCAACTATTCAATGTTGATGCTGTGATGGCAACTTTAAAATTTTTACTTTTCAGGAAAAGAGAATGTAGTAAATTTCATGAGCTAGTGGTTTTACAGTTTATTTTATTTTAGGAAATTAAAAGTTTATCCTTATGAGTTTGTTTTGTTTGGGTATAAATGCCTTCTAAGTTTTATCCACAGAATAGGGATTTTGCATCTTTTGGATCTTTCACAAGACATAAGATATTCTTTATATAGATTAATGAATCTTTGTGTTGCAATAATACATATCTCAGAAGAAATGACTATGTTCTTTGGATATTAGATATGACAGGTGACTGATGAAATTATCTTCCTTTTTCAGGAGAGAAAAAGCTCTCACATGTTCTTTGACCAAAGCTCTGTACTCTGTTTCTGCATCCAAAATTCAATTGCATGACCAACTGTAAATGTAAAGCCTCTGTTTGAAAATAAGGTGAAAAATATTTGAAAATACAAAACTAATGCAGCCAAATCAATATCTGCTCAAAATTCAGTTTATCCAAATCTACATTTGGAATTATATTTAAAAAAATGAAACTCTCTAACTTCTGCTTATGGAAAAAATTTGGATATGAGGAAAAATTGAGAAAGGTAGAGCATAGGGATGATGAAGTAGCATTGCTAAAGTAGTTTACCATTCAAAAGAAGCTGTAATCTGTCCATATCTGGAAATATGGTTCAGACAGAGAGGCCAATGAATTTACCAGACACTTAAGGGACTAAAAAAGAACATAGAACAAATTTAACAATTATGTGTGAAAACAATATAAATTAAATCTTAATGTAATTTTTGAATTAAATTTATTATTAACTTTTTTTTTTTGGTAGATGCGACAATGCTGATCAGCTTTTTCCTTTATAAATCATAAAAATTTATGTGACTACCATCAATAAATTTTTGTGAGATAATTAAGTTTTCTTATCACACTGGATATAGCAAAACGCCGGATATAAGTGAAGCAATTTCCACTCCCTTGAAGTTCATGAAAGCAGGCTTTAGTGTAGCTTCAAAATGCAATGCTCAGTACCAAAATCCTCAAATCAAAACTAAATCTAATATGTTATTACATACACATTAGCTTACTATATAGCACATTTTCTCTGTTTTGCTCTACAAAATTAATAAGCATTCATTCAATTGCTTATCGTAATCAAATTTTTAATTTCTGCTAATTGAAGTTAAATTTAATCTGAGTGGATGATTAATGACAAAGTGTGAAAGAATATATTTAGTTAATATTAGAAAGTTTAAAGGAAAACTTTATAAAATCTGCTTCATTTAAAATTATGGTGAGAAAAGTCATATGCCAATAATAATTAAAATATAATCAGAAATGATTTATTTAGCATAATAGTCAAAAAATATCACACAGAGTTGAGGAAATAGCAATGAATAAAACAATATGAATTACAAGTAGTTAATACTTTTTCTAAAACTTTTTTTTTTAGAGACAATTTATGTTATGTCACATGTTTTCATAAATTTATAAAGCAAAATATACATTTGTATGGTTGAAAACCAAATTATGACTTAACATGACATGACTGGCATGGTTTCTAACAGGATTTATTTGAAAAAAAAATTTTTTTTTTTTTTTTTTTTTTTTTTTTGTAGGTTAGCATATTTTGAAAATGAAACTCCCATACCATATGCATTCATAGACAACCCCCTAAAATCGAGAAAAACATGTATTTTGTATCGCTGCATGTGAAGTATATGTATAATACATTTTTTAATTGATGCTATACTGCATTTTATTAGTTTACTTGTGAACCCACAATTAAAGAATTATTTTGCTCTTTGAAAATTTTCTGTTCTCTAAAGATTTAGAATTCAATTTCAAGTTTACATATTTTTAGGGTAACTGAGTTCTTTCTGAAATGTTGTAAAAATGACCAAATGTTGTTGTTTGTCCTAGCTGAAAAAAATCCTTCATATTGCAGCTCATGCATTTAGTTGTGAAATTGATTAGTCAAACATATAATCAGTCCCATATAAAAATCCCGGATATTTTTCAATCCAGTAAAAAACCTCATGCAATTATAAATGCTGGACTGCCCAGAGTAATCTTGAATAAGTGATAACCCTAATCATTTGCACTACACCTTTTTACACTTCTTTCTATGCATTTTTCAAAAGTTTATTCATCACATTAAAAGGAAACTAACCTACCAACAGTGTGATGCTTTGCAATTTTGACAAGTTTGTGCTGCTAAAATTTATGCCTATACATGGTTTTGCAAATTTTCTGTTATTTGAGCATTTTCTCGAGCTAATTTTTGCTACTTAAAAGTTTTTTACTGTAAAATACACACGTTAAAAATGTACTTATGATAGTTAATTTATAATAAACAGTAATAATTTATTTATGCTTAATTAAAAATTGGCAACTGGCAATGGTGCCAGTCATAGGAAAAAAAAAAAAAAAAAAAAACATGTTTAGCATAATTCTAATAGCCAATCCAGAGATGATTTTAAGATTTGGTAATTTTTCCATTAGAATTTTCAGAAATTTCGGGGAAAGCGGTATGAAAACTATAAAGACAAAAATTCACTTGTAGATGTTAATAAATATGTTATACCTAATTTTTTTTGTTTGGAACTTCATTACAGCCATATAAAATAATATTACTTGCACAGGAAGCTCAAGAAGGCAAACAATTTTATTTGTTAGACTTAGTCTGTAGTTTGGGATTTGGCTGTATGCCAGTAAAACCTCTGTTCTAAGATAAGATTTAATATACTTGCTTATATACTGTAATGTATATAAAATTATAAGGTATTTCTCCTGCCTTCCTAGCGTGCCTTTGTGGTGTAGTGGTTCTGCATGCTGGGTCGGTATTCGTCCGTGGTTCGATTCCCAACGTAGGCGATTGCTCATTTTTCATCTTGCCTGCTTCCAAAAAATACGTAATGTCTCTACAAAGTATATAATCATAGACAACCACATTATTTCATGTTTTCCATTATTCATGTGAAAACTAATCTGTGTTTGAAAAACTCTTTATATGGATAATTTTGCTACTGTAATCTTTAAAGAAAAAGAATGTCTACATTTTTTAAAAACCTCCATTATTACAGTATTTTCAACATTATTTTTTAATGTACATTCCGTAAAATAATGATAATAATAACAATAAAACTGCCAGTTTTTATGGAAACCATGTTTGCAATTTTAAGAACTTATTAACATTCTCAGAAACAAAAGTTGTGACCAATCCTTTAATATAAACTCTGAAACTAATATAAACTGTTGGACTAACTGTAACAACAAGGGTGCCCTCTGGTGAGTAGCCAGAGAAGTACTTCAGTAAAAGCCAAGTGTTAAACCTGATAGGTTGAATCAGACTCTTGCTCTGTAATTTTCTTAAAGTTAAATGTAATGTCAGTGTGTAACTTAAACCTGTTAATAATAAATAATTGTTACACTATAAAGGACTGTTTTATGACACCATCCAAAATGACCTCTCATAAAGTTAAATTTTCAAGTTCAAGTTTATAATTTAAAAAATATAACAGATAATTTTATGGTTCTGTTGCAGTGAAAGCCTAGTAACAAATATTGCATTTCACTTTAATTATTACGATTTTTGTGACAAAATTAGCTACGTATGAGAAGACAGTTATAAGCAGAGCAACCAGAGTAAAATTCTCTGAATTGTCACAACTTCTCTGCCTATAATCAGGAGGTTAAACTTAGTGGATCACAAGTGAGGACATAAATCCTAGTTGGATTAGTCTATTTCTTATATCATCCAGAGTCCAGTGTATGCAATGTTGACAACCTGTTTTTTACTTTCTAGTAAGTCATATGCTTTTACAGGCTTTTCTCATCTATCTTATTAATATGACACTAGGAACAAAAAAATTGATAAAAAATTGGCCAAAAAATTTTTAAAATTGGACTATTCATAGATGTAGAAACTTTTCTATCTCTCATGTTATGAATAATTAAATTTTTATTCAAATTCAGAAAAACAAGCTAAGTTTGTAATAATGACCTTATTAAAAAAACTAGAGGAAAATGTATGATTTTTTTAAAAACAGTATGTAGTTATAATCAATTTTTAGACAGATAGGTAAGGCAGATTGTAAATTGCAACTGCATTATTGGCTGCTCAGTAATAATAATAATAATGAATATAATAAATTCTTTGAGAACTTGAGAAATTGCAATTGAATTATCATACGATTTAATTCCAAAATTTATTATTTGCTTTTAAAAATAAATGGTTAAAAAATTTAAAAAACATAAATTATCAGTCCTGCCTAAACATAAAATGTGATAGTATAAGTAATTAAAATATTCTTACTAGCCATTATAAGAAATATAAGCTAGCTGATTTCTATTCTATTATAAAATAAATACATATTCTTATCTCTTAAAAAAAGTTTAAAAAAATTCATGGAACCCAAAATGCTTACAAAATATTCATAATGCAGAAGACAGTTTTAGAACATACAAAACTATACAGGATTTTATATAAAGTAGTACATAAATGAAATCATGAATACTTACGAAATAATAATAATATAATTATAAATACTTACGAATAAATGAAAATATAATAAATAAATACTTACGAAATAAATAAAATAAAATACTTATGAATAATACTTACGAATAAAATACTATACTTACGAATAAATAAATACTTACGAAAATAAAATACTAAATACTTACGAAATAAAATACTTACGAAATAAAATAAAATACTTACGAAATACATAAGTCAGTTTTACCTCATTAAAAAATATGGATTTACTCAGGTTATGACACAAAGTTGATTATCATAATTTAAGGCACATAAATTTTTGCATATACAAGTAAGCTAAAAAAACACTAAATTTTTAAGAGAAATGTAATTTACTGATATTATTTGTAACAGTAATACAATTTATATTTCATTTTACCTGCTCCATGTAAGCACCACGAACAAGTTTTGCACCAAAGTAAAAACCCTGCCTTCTTGCTAGTTCCAAGTCCAAAACAACACTGTCATATGCATCCTATAGCATGTTAATATTTTAATATGTTAATATACATACATGCACACACACATATATATATAGCTATAGATATAGATATAGATATATACATATTCATGCACTCATAATTGCATATCATTAATTCCCAATTTAAAAGTGATATGATTAGCAATAAAAGTTTTTCAACAATTAGCAGGAAAAAAAATCATACATAAAATTAGAGCAACATCCATTTTTTAATAAATGCCAATTGATGTTTTTTTTCTACTATTTTTTAATAAATGCTTACTTTTGGCTACACATAAAGGGAACACATTTTATTACCTTTAAATAACACTGGTATGTATTGAAGATTATCGCTTTCTTTTTATTGTACTTTCTCATCATTTCCATTGTTATTCTGTTAATTGCTGGTTGAAAATAAGATTGTTCAGCATCAATCATGACTCGAACATCTTTTTCTCTTGCAGTCTGAAAAAATAAGGAATAGTTTCTTAATTCAAAAAAGGGTGGAAGAAAGGGGGACAAAAAAGCAAATTTTACCTGGGGGGGGGACTGATTTTCAAACATGATAGTTTCAAAAAATAAAATACATATAAACTGGCACTTGCCTAACAATTCTTAAATTATAATAATTCTTATTACGTTTTAATAATCCTTAACAAAGCAAAGATATTGAGGAAAAGAGATTTAAAATTTTAGATACTAAAACAATTTGATAACTCATTTAAATATAAACATTAGGTCAAAATATATAATTAGTACTTACAAAAATCATACGATTCAAACATAAGCTCCTATTTAATTTAAAATTTAGAATTTAAAGTAATTGTACAGTTAAAATGTTCCTTAAAAATTTATTTCATATTTACTAATTCATTCTGCTAAAACCTCTTCAAATTCTTCAGCAATTTCATATCATAATTTCTGATTTCTAATTAAAAAGAAAAACACATTAAAATAACTTCAGTTTTATATTTCATTTTTACCGTTCTTCGCATATATTCTTTATAACAGCTTTATTTTCTGACCAATAGAAAAAATTTCTTTTTATAGAATAGTGGCAGCGACTGATTTTAAATATTCTTTCAAATGCAAATGTATTTACGAACATTTTCACTAATAAGCCATTCTATTAACTTTTAAGTAACAGTCAATATATGAGTAATGTGTTAGCCATAAAAAATTCTAAATGAAATAATCTTGAACAAGCATTTATTTTGTTATAATATTTTCTGCTTATCTCATTCTAGATAATACTTTTTATTGCAATATAAGATACTGAAAATTTTAAATAAAATAGATAAGAGGCATGTTTTGCCAAAAAGAACAAAAGACCATATATATTAAAAATTAGACAACAAAAATAAATAAATAAAGCAATCCTTAGTTTTATGTAGATTTCGAATAAGGTTCTGTTGGTTTCGGTGGTGATTAGACACAAGTGATCTTTTACGAGCAAAAATATTTTCTGCAAAATAGAAGAAGCAACAAACATTCTTATATAAAAACAACGAGCAAAGCAAACTTATATGTAGTACTCTATATGAAGGAAAATAGTAATGAAACACGAAAACTATGATATTAGAATTCTGAAATCATTAGGAAGGAGTAGATTGCAGTTAATACCATTAGCTAGCCAAGAAAAATTTTTGTGAATATGTAAAGCTTTATGGAAATTCAATTCAGAAAATTAAAAAGCTTTATGGATAATTTTTGCAGAACCAATCTCAAAATTGTGATTAAGTGCACAACTATGAGCGGCAATCAAAGATTTTTTAGTTCTTTGCAAACACATGATTCACATTCCTTGTCAAAAAACTTAAGCACTTGTTTAATTTAGTTAGTATGGCAAACCATACTGACAAAATATGATATAAATTTCACAAGATTCCCCTCTTCTGCCTCTTGAAGAAGATACATTTATGGCTGATCACCTTCAAAACTGATAGAATCTTTTATTCGAAATCTATGCCAAACTAAGGCTGCTTTTTTTGCCTAATTTTAAATTTTACATTGCCATGTTTCTCACTCTTTCTCTTTTGTAACCATAAATTTACTGAAAAAAAAAAAAAAAAAAAAAAAAAAAAAAAAAAAAATTAAATAATACATTACATTACATGTTTGGATACTAGAACAAATTATAATTTCAATTACATAAATGCAGTATGAAATTTAAATAATTAGGGACTTAAAACTGCCTTTTGAAATAGAAAAGAGTCCTAAACTAAATTATAAACACGAACTTATGTTTTTATTAAGATATAACCATGAAAAGCAGGGCCATAAAAGCACCCATAAAAGAGTAAAAGAATTCAAGCAAAAAATTCCTCAAGTAAATTTAAGTTCATGTTTAACAATGAAAAACATTAAAATCTTGAAGAATAATTTCACGTTTTAATCACTTTTATATTTGTCTCAATGATTTTCCAACTTCCTAATTTATTATGTTTAATTTTTTACTTTTAACTTGATTATATAAACTTGTATCAAAACCTTTTATCTACTTAAAATAGGCAACATTATTTTAAGAAAAACTTTAAATAATGTTATCATTATGTAAAAAACTACTTCTTAAGATTCTGTCTAATATGAAATCAAGACAGATTTTGTTTGAAGTTAAAAATACATTATTATTCATTTTAAAATTATTATAAAATTATAAGGAATTTAAAAATATGGAAAATTTTGCAAATTAATTATTGCTGAAAATGACATTAATTTGCATGGTTTGCAAGACAACAAACAATATATGTTTCAAGTTCTTAAAATATTTTATTCTTCACAGAAAATTTTATTACAGAAATTAAAAATTTATATTATATTGTAGGATTTACCTTATTTTTCATAACAAATTTATTTTAAGTTTGATACCTTTACTGAACTTCTCAACTTCCCCTCACATTTTCTCGCCAGGATGTGAATTTAAAGTTAAATGAACTGCATATTTAAATGGGTGAATCTCTGAGTTTAGTCAGAGCGTGTTTTCGCTAGTCACTGCATGTTTTGTTGTTGTTTCACTGTTATGCTAGTCAGCCTCTTGGTCATTTTGGATTATCATCACACCTGCTAGGTTTTTGTGATTCACCCTGTTAGGCATAACTTACATGCTATCCAGCACTACTTATTTTAGATTTTGACTTGAATTATATTTTACATTTTTAGTTTCACCACAAGTTTGATGGTGCCATTGTAATGCACGAAGATCATGTCTGACAACTATTTTGGAATTTATTAAAGTGTTATTTTCATTCTTCTTCTGTGCTGGTATTTATTCACGGGTGTGCAAGACTTCGCCAGGTTCATTGTAGGATCTAATTTAGTTTACGTGGAAAAACAGAGAAAGACCCCATAATATATATTACACTAAAAAATAAAAATTAACTTTGAGCATATTAAAAAAAAATATTTAGAAATAATGACAAGGAAAACTGTTGCTACGAAAGTGCAGGATATAAACCTACTCTTGCAATATTGTGCAGCCGTCTCATCATATTTTTGAACATTTCTTCTTCTTCAGCACTTAAAGCTGCTATAAGGCGCTCCATTTTACCACTCTGAAAAAAAAAAAAAAAAATTAAAATGATAATTTCAAACATTACTGAAAAAAAAAAAATTGAAACTTTCATTCAATGGACTTAAAAATTACAGTAATGCTTATTATTATTATTTGCTATTTATATAACTGCACACTGATAAATAACAGAAATTCTTTGTTATATCAGTTCCATTAGGTGATAAAATGCCACATTTAAGATTATGGAGCACAACTATCTCTCTCTCTCTCTATATATATATGTGTGTGATGCACAGTCGTGATCACTGAGTTGTAGGGCGAGATGAAGAAGTTGATACCAAACCAGATATCAAATTTAATGAAAAAGATACTGAAAAATTGGCATTTACTACAAATTTTGGTCTGCATGAATTTACTAGATTACCTTTTGGTTGGAAAAATTTCCCAGCTTAAATTATTTTGATGAGATTATAGTATCTTCTCCAAATTTTGATTAACATCTTAAACATCTTAAAATAATATTTGAAATATGTGAAAAAGCAGAATAATGACATAATTAACTCACCAGAGTATTTATACTAAATCTGAGGTATAAATAGAGCTAATCTGTGATTGGTTAATATTAGTTTTAGTTACCCTTTTCCAATGAGCGTTACATAACGTAGAAAAATCTCAAGTTTGGGAGAACAGATGAATTTAGGGGGAGAGCACCAAATCTAGAAATGTTAATTTTGAGGTTGCCAATTATTTTTTTAAAGCAGCTATCATATTTTGTTATATCTTACATATATATGCTAACAACCTAAAACAGAAACTATAAAACAATATCTATATAACGTTTTTAATGAGTCCAGCTACTATTTTATAATAATAGAGATGCAGAACTGCATTCATTGCTTTTAAATTGCTTAAATTGTTAATCACTAACAGACACATTAAATTTGAAAGAAAAACTAAATAACTATCTTATGCTCTGCTGAATGGCACATTACATGGAAGATAAAAATACACTTAAGCTAAAAAATAAGCAATAAACGCTAAAAGAAAAGGTATGAATGTAGAAATGGGAATTAAAACATACAATTTACATATGAGGTAGAGATTCCATAGCTGAATGCAGATAGGAACCAAAATTAGCATAAAATGCAATCCTGCAGTCACTGCAATCAAATAACAATGCCTTAAAAAGAGGCATGGCCAGACCTATGTGCCAGTTCATAAGCAGTGATAATTCCATGTAATCCAAGATAGCCAAAGCAGAAAACATGAGGAAAGACACCATTTGCACGATGAAATGCAATGGAGACCTGTTGGGATGCCGCAAACTCGAGCAAGACAATCCGCTGTTGCAAGAGAGCTGAATATGCATTGCAGTGTCATCTTCAGGCTGTGGAATTATTTCAAAAGGGATCAAAATCCTTGTAGAAGACTTAGCTCTGGACACCAGAGAATTACCACGATGGCTGACAATCACTTCCTGTTACTATGTGCAAGACGCTGTAGATCACTAATAACATGGCAGCTGCTGCTGCATCTCACTGCTGCAGTAAAGTGGCCCATATCCCAGCAAACTGTCATGTCAATTGCATGGACTATACACCCAACAACCTGTAGTTTGTGTTCCTTTGTCCCAAAGCCATAGCTAGGGTTTTCAGTGCCTAGAGACAATTGAAGATTTTGTTTCCCCTTCTGTCTTCCAAGAATGGAAAACATTTCCCTCTAAAATTTTGTAACATCAGTTTGGTGACCCTTGGATGCTGCACCTGGGGATAAATGTACCCTCTTGCCCCACCCTAACTATGCCGCTCCCTTGCCCATGCCGCATATCACAGCAAAATTTAACTGGGCTCATGAACATTGCAGCTCGTCCATAAAGAGAAGTGGGGGCACATGCTCTTTATTGGCGAGTCTCCAATTTAATATCCAAGACAATTCCTGAAGAGGAATGATATGGTGAGAGCCAGGGACACGCTATTGGGTGCCAAACGTCATCGAAAAAGACCATTACAGAGGAGGAAGCTTACTTGTATTGGCTGAGATAGCAACCAATGGCTGCACGGACCTCTATGTGATTCCCGGTGGTTCCATCACAGCTAAATCTGCTGTCACTATGAAATTCCATGCTTATCTGGAAAGTGAAACCGTTCCAATCTGCCATGGCCTGCTAGGTCACTAGACTTGAATGATGTAGAGGCATGTGCAGGATATGTTGGGACGATGGATGCAAGTCACAGTGTGCTGCCAGGCAGCGTCCACAAGCTCTGACATGCATTACACAGGAATGGGTGCTACTGTCACAACAAGATATCAATAATACTATTGCCAACCTGCCTCACTGCTGTCAAGCATGCATTTCAGTTAGAAGGTATCCTGCCCATTATTAGCATGGTGTTTCCATTACACATCCTTCTGATCCATTTGGTCTTTCATGATTTGATGGTCATAATGCATTTTTGTATATCTTTGCTTTATTGTTTGCTGTCTATTAATGGCACACCAACCTCTTGAATCAATTTCATGCATACCAATTAAACAGTTTTTATTTTATTCTGTGTTTTGCGTTTGTTGCTTATTTTTTGAGCAGCAGTGTACTTTATTTCAGGGAATGGGAACACCTTTTAAATCGATGAGCTTTCTGATTAAATTTTAAACATCAACATCTTACAGTTTCCTTACTAGTAACACACTGCTTTTAAATTGGCAAATTTGTTAATTAGACTGTCATTAAATTCCCACAAAATATGAAATAAATAAAAAAAGAAATTTAAAATTTGAGCTTCAACGTTCACATGTTTGGGTGCAGGACTATGTGTGTTCAAAATTTTGTGTCAGTACATTTTGTGTGTTTTTGTATATATGTTCTTTGCATTGTGGAAAAGCTAAGAGAGATCCCTTGATTGATAGAGTGGTTACTGTTCAGCCAGTTCGATTCCCAGTGAAGGCATAGATGTGTAAGTGCATAGTGTCTTTGCAGCATAGGGCATTAAAGTATACACTGACCCTACAGTCCTCTCAAGTGGTTTTTTGCAAGGAACACCAATCGACTTGTCCTTCACAATATTCTTCTCAAAATTGGAAATGAACTGGATAAAGTCATACTGTCACCTAATGGTATTCAAGGGGCTTGCTAATGACAGAAACAATCCTATGTTCTTCAATGCAAAAAATTAATAATTTGTTCTAATAACATGGTCTGACAAATGAGCTAAGTTACAACAATATAAATCTGCAAATAAATATATCTGTGTGTTTACATATATACAGTCATACCTAATAATTTCCTGATTCAGTTTCTACGCTTTTTTTTTCTGTACTTTATTTTGCCTAAAATAAATTTAATTCAAAGAAAGAATTTGTAAGACATAAAACATGCATTAAGAGAGAATGGAGTGTACATAGTAAAATACAGTAGCTCTAATGCTACTAATGCCACTTTTCCATGCCTGTCTCCCTAATCATAAGCATAGATACACAAGGATAACTTAGACCAATGTTTTATCATGTATAAAATGATTTAATGGAAAAGAAATTATTATTCTGTCATCCTTTGGAAATATACACACACTGACCAATGAATTAGAAACATTTGAGATTTTCATTTGAATGTGTGCTAGGGATGAAGTATGAAAATTTTTTTTATTATGTGGGCTACACGTGGTAAGAATGCTAGTACAGTCAAAGACCAAAAATCCGCCGAACTGAAATCCGCATTGCCTCTCAAAATATACACATTTAGTTTTCAGGCTCCGGAAACCACAACATGGAGTATGAAATATCGAAGAAAAAATACTTACTGGTTAATGACATCACAATTATCGAATAATAATGAGTCATAATGGAAATACTAAATTATTCACATCACGATAAGAGTTTTCCCCCCCTCCAGTCTGCATTGAGGTAAAAAAGCAGACGATTAACTCAACTCTTCTTTTAAGTTCACACTTCGCATTGCTGCACTTTCTGAGCTTTGTTATTTCACAAGATTGTTTAATGATGTCGTTTTTCTTTCTTTTTTTTTTTTAAAATGGATATTTTGTGGATAAAATAAGAATATTTTAAATTTCAGAGCTTTTTAATACAATGACAGATAAGAAATGCACTCGTGGTTTTACTGCTTGCATCGTTGAAAAATGTAAACACGTTGCATTGACGGTAATGAAAAAAATGGAAATTCTGCTAAAGATGGAGGCAGGTGCTACTGCTCGGTTTATAGCAGAATCATATGGAATTGCTGCACGGATTGGGTATGATATACGAAACAATAAAGAAAAGCTGTTGAAATTTTACAGCAACAGCGATTCTAACACCGGAATCCGAAACTGGAAATCTTTACATGAGGCGAAATCGGCAAACCTCGATGCTGTCTTGTACGAGTGGTTTTGGCAGCGGCGGAGTGATGGGGTACCTATTTCAGGGCTACTCCTGAGAGAAAAGGGGAAGCAGATTCAGGCTGATTTAAAAATAGAGGAGCCTAATGTAAATGAACAATATAATATAATCAGTTTATATATGTAATAATAATTTAAAGCATATAATTAATTATTGTATTAATGTATATAACAATTTAATTAAATGTATCTAATACGCCTTATTTATTTTGCATGTTTAGTCTGAATATTATCTTTTCTGTTCTGAAATCCGCAAAATCCTAAAATCGACACAACCTCTGGTCCCAAGCGTTGTGGATTTCTGGACTTCTACTGAAAGGTGTAAGAGTCCTTTTCATGACAGATGAAGTAAAATGGGAAAAACGACAGATCTTTCATCATTTGAAAAAGGGCTTATTGTTGGCACCCATTTAGTAGAGGCTATGATTTCAAAGACAGCAATTCTCATTGGGTTCTCAATAGCAGCCATATCAAAAATTTTCAAAACTTGAAATTAGAGCCCAAACACCTTTCTCTAGAAGACATAACTGTGGTTCGAGCACAGGTTTCCAAGAGAGTGATCAGCAACATTGACTGTACTCTGCTTCAACTGACACAAATCGTCAACCAAGGCTCTTCCCAACATATTTCAGCTTGAACCATGTGCAGAAAATTGGAGAAGATAAGAATTCATAGTCCGGTGCCTGTGAGAAAATCACTCATTTCTCTCCAACATGCAAGAATTCATTTGCAGTGGTATCAAGAAAGAAGACAATGGACATCTGAGGATTGGAAACGGGTAATGTGGTCAGATGAATCCTGCTACACCTTATTTTGCACTGATGGAAGGCTCTGAATTTGGCAAGAACCTCCATGAAGCCATAAATCCATCTTGCTTTACTCACACCATATTAGGGTTTGGTGCAAGTATCATGATATGAGGCATGTTCTGCTGGCATGGAAGTGGTGCCCTGGTGTTCCTCAAGGGTAAACAAACAGCCATGAGAGATACCTAATATATACTGTCAGATCAAGTGCACCCTGCAATGATGCATTTTTACCCTGATGGCGACGGATACTTCATGGACAAAAATGCAACTATACATCGTGCCAGAAGTGTTCAAAATTGGTTTGCTGAACATCAGTCTCATTTCCAACATATTCCCTAGACACCGCATAGCCTGAATCTTAACCCCATACAAAATGTGTGAGATATGGTGGAAAGACACATTCGACAACACTGCGATCTCCCATCTAATTTATAAGATCTAAAAAGCTGCATAGACAATGCAGCTCTGGTATTCTCGGGGTGTAAATGCACTCCAGAAGTACGTAGGCTTGATGCCCAAATGAATCAGAGCAGTTATCCATGCAAAAAGGTGGTCCAATAAAATATTGATACTGGGTTTCTAATTCATTGCCAGTGTGTGTACTTGATACTAGTATACACATCCAGTGCTTTTCGTTGTTCTATTATCCTTTGAAAATTCAACTAAAACACATAAGAATATCTTATTTTCCTGTACACAAAAAGAGATGAAAAATATACACTATGAATGTATAATTTACTTCACTTAATGTTGACCTAATTTTTATTATGTGTAATTTATCAATGAAACTGTAATAAAATTTATATATACTACATAAATACTGTGCTTTATTTGGTTTTACTTACAGCACATGTGAACTACTGTATTATCTTATATAAAGATAAAATAAAAAATACTGAAATTACTTTGATTTTTACTGATATGAAAATTATTATTAAAACTAAGATTAAAGAAGACCACAGAATGCTAAAGAAGTCCACAGAAAATTATAGAATAAATATTAATATTTAGATCAAATGGCAATTGACTGATGTGCTTATATATAAAACTTACCTGCAAATTAGGCACTTTAAATAGGTCTGACATAACATAATTTAAATCAACAAGACCACTCCAAGAAAACATATTCATTAACCTGAAAATGTTTTTTAAGATGTAATTTTATGATGATAATATATATATCTAAATAATACACACATCTAAATAAAAATACACATTAATAAAAAAACAATAAAAAATTACAAAAGCAATCATTCTTATATACACAATATACCCCTGACCAAATTTTATTTTCTTACGAATCCTACACTGTAGTATTGTTGCATTCTGCACAGGTAGCCAGTATTGCTCAGGACAGCTCGAAAAAGATGTTTACAGTCATCGAAAAACTATGACACGCATGCTGAAACAATCAGCGACACAGCCTTCAGACTATCAAGCTATAACGGTGAACACAGTTTCATGATAAAGCAACAGAGTACAGCTCCAGATTTGATTTGGTTCTCGGAACTCTATGTACACTAGAGACCCTTCACACTATAATTCGCGATGCACTCGACGATACACTCAATAGACTCGATGATGCGCTTGCTAGACCCACGATACTCTTGACAACCAACACGGCACTAGACTGACCACTCACTAGACTACACAGCTAAGAGACTGTGATGAGACACACACTCACTCTGCATACCAGCAGGGTTTATATAGTTTTCAGCTTGTGTTTGAGAACACTCTAGGCCAAACCGATAAGAATTCTTTCCAGAAGGTTCTCCATCCATCTGTGGCATATCACCAGTTTTCTCGCCAAATATGGCAACCCTGCCTTCCCTTGCCATTTTCTGGAAACCCTAAATCTGCCCTGTGAGGGAAGCTATCCTACCACAGTTGGGCATTTCATCACAGTATCACAATCTAACTTTAAAAGTAAATTTCAAATAAAACTAAATTTTTCATATCACTAGATGTACAAGGTCATATTTTATTTTGTATGGAAACAGAACACTTTTAAAAATAAATAAAATATTATCAAAAAACGCATAGAGGTTGGCTTGGAAGAAGTTAATAAATGCACTAGATTACTTTGATTACACCAAAACATATATGGGTTACCGTCATCATCAGCTTATAAGGATGGATGCTTTTACAAACATCTTTCTAAAGGGAAATGTCCTGTATTTAAATTACACATGTGGAAACATATGAACACTTCGTGTAACCAGCTCATTCAATAAGTGGAAAAAGTACATAAGCATAATATTAATACTAGTTTGTGGTTTAGACCTATCATCTCTTCTTGGCCAAATGTGTTTACAAAAACGTTTTGATGGCAAAATCACAGTTTATTTTAGCATTTGCAAACATGAGATGTAATAACAGAGTAATATTTGAAAGAAATGTTTAAATATCCTAGATTACCTAGTTTTCATGTTGATATGTAAGAACTTATGCAACTTTAAGAACAACAGAAATCTTTAGAATACAAAATGATCAACTTGAATTCAATTGCCAACTTTCACATACTCCATAAGTGCATACACATATATCTGAGCTGTTGAAGTAATAATTTCAGTTCTTTGAAAAAATTAATTAATTTACCCTTTTCTATCATAATCCATATTTTCAAGCCATTTTTTAACTTCCTCATTATCTGTCTTTATTTTATGGTACTCTAATTTACTAGCAATTACAGTGGGCGTCACATTTTCAGCAGCCATGTGCTCACTAGACCCAGTAACTTCCTTGAAATATAATCTAGTTCTGGCAATTACTTCAGATAACTGCATCTATAAATAAATAGATTATAGCTTTAAAAATTAAAACTGCATTTTGAAATAAAAAAACAGAAAGAAAAATATGATTTATAACAAATTCCAAAAATAATTAATGTTATTCATAATACATATCTACCCCATTTCAATGCAAATACAATAAATTAAATAAAACACTTTAATATTTTACAGCCCCATTTTAATTATTTAAAGTGGCCTCAAACTCAAGTTGCACAATCAAAAAGTACCTAATTACTTATTCAGAAGTCAAACAACAAAAATCAGCGTTAATTTACAAAATTTTCACAGGACTAGTTTCGATGGTTTTACCGAACCATCATCTTCAGCTGCAAAACCGCAAATGAACAAGATAGGAAAATAATGTTTAGATAAGATAAGAAAGCCTGGACAAGAATAAGCAAGTGGCGCCCATCTGTTGGCGAAACCAGAACTAAAACATAATTTCTCTAAAAGCCGAAGGCAAATTTGGATTGGAATTAGGATCGTTAACTAGGAACAGAAAGATTTTTATGAATGTGAAATGCCTCTAGAAAATCCAGTTCTCCAATGGAAGATGTTTTTGAATAATTTTGGCAGCAGAAAAAATTGAAAGTGTGATTTTCGGACCAACAATGTTGAGCAACAGAAGACTTCTGTGTTTCCTTTTTTCTAACATATGCCTCATGTTCTTGACGCGAAATTTTAAGGCTCTCTTAGTTTGGCCAATGTAAATTAAACCGCACTGGCAAGGATCCTATAAATACCCCAGGAATTCATATCCGGAATGGGGTCCTTGAGTATAGGAAGTTGGAATTTTATTGATGGAGAGTAAACAAACCCGAAAGTTAAATTTCTGCAAAATATGTGCAAACTTTATAGCTAATTGATGGAAAGAAGGGAATGACAACAGAATTTTTATAATCTCCTAAAATAAGAGTGTGGCTTTTAGTGTGTTGAGATGAGAATTTTTTAACTGCTTGATTAATAATGTTGGGTGAAAAGCCCCTGTCAATAGCTATTGCTTTTAAATAATTTAGTTCTTCATCAAGGGCTAGTTTGGAGGAGCAAACTTGAAGAGCACGGAAAACATAGGAATAAAATGGAACATAGGAACATAAAACATAGGAATAAACCTAATTTACTTACTACAATATTTTTTTTTTAACAAAAAAAAAATTTTTAACTAATTTAAAATAATAATATATATATAATATATATACTATATTGTATGATCTTACATCCATTTAGTGCGAATACAGTAGTACTAATTGCAATTGCTGCAAAGTTTAGTTAATAATAATTTATTCCTAAAAAGTATTGATTAATTGATATTATCTCCTAAGTTTAATTAAATTTATTCTCCTAAGTCTATTTAAGTAGAATTATTTTAAAATGTGAATCCATACTGGTAATTATAGTATATATATATATACTAGATATTTGTCAAAACACAGATATAAAAATGATGCAAAAAAAATTCTAATTTATACTTATTTTTTTACTTTAGATCTAAAAACTGGAATCTGCAAGAAATTTTGGTACTTTTCCATTTTGCAGGCGCAAACAATAAAGTCGCCAATAATGGTACAACTGATGCCAAATGGAATATCTTCACTGGTAACCTTTTACACTTCATTTTCAAAACAAGTCTCAGCCATTTCTTACCAGATTGATTGTTTTTTTTTTTTTTACAATACTGGCATACAATTACATAGAATATTTACAAAGATAATTAAATTTTATGCCCTAAGATCATTCACCATAATTTAGTCAATTAGGATGCTATATCATAATTGAGGCATTTTATCTTTTGACAAGTACACTAATAACAGTTAATCAAATCTGTATCAACAAATTTTTTATAAAGATTTATATCACAGTGTAAATTAATTAGCTCCATCTACATTTTCCGGACTGCATTTTAAAATGAAGAAAGATAATGTAAAATTGAATTCGAAACCATTAAAATCTTAAACTGTTTCTTCTAATTCTTGTCAAAATATGCTGATTAGTTTATGGAAAATGCATTTATGGGCTGCATAAAATTGCTTCACAGATTGCCATTTTGATACTGCTACCATAAAATATTAAAGACAGATGCCACTGAATATAGTTACATCTTTATAAAAAATTTTAAATACATTATATTTACATCCATATTTTTTCTCTTCTTTTCTGCTCATTTTACCATCCGCAAATTGAACAGAGGAAAAATACATTTCTCATAGCATCTCTGAGAAAAATTTAAAGGAAGAACTTAGCAGATTAAATGTGTATGTGCATACTTTTACTGACATTACTATAAGAAATGTTTCAAAGAAATCAATTACAGTTATTGCTCTCAACTCTTTTCACTCCCACATTATATGTGATACCTATATGTTGGATTATGTGTATAAATAAAATATCTTTTTCAGCTACATAAATCATATGAAAAGATTACTATTGTCAGTACAGGTCTACAGCAATAAAAAGCATTCTCTGATTATGCATACTCCCAATGAAAAGTTGCTAATTCATCAGTAACCTTATGACTTAATGAAAAATCCTTAACCTCAGAAATGAAACATATGCATGATATATGACTAATGGCTTTGTGGCAAAAATGATAATACGAGTACATAATATGGTATTCTATATGGCTCATGCGTGCATATGTGTTATGTTCATACATAACACATATGCATAATAAAAATCTGATGTGTACACCACATGACTTCCTTTCACGGAATATTAAATTATGCATACGTGTTATGTTCATACATAACACATATGCATAATAAAAAATCTGATGTGTACACCACATGACTTCCTTTCACGGAATATTAAATTATAAACATTTTTTTTTTTGCTGTCTTTCATTCAAACTTATTTCCTTGAATTTCACTAGAGATAATAGTTCTCCTTCAATTAATTCAGTTCTCACTTTGTGGCAAGGCAAAAATACATAAAACCACAAAATAGCTTTTCAAAAATTGAAAATGTAGAAAAATATGAAACAAAAAAAAAAAAAAAAAAAAATTACAATTAAAACTCGAGTTTCTACACAAAAACAAGCAATTCAGCCAGTTGGCAAGAAGGCAGATTATTATGTGCACAAAACTGAAAATTTACTTTTACTCCCACTCGGTAAAAAGACACTGAAGGTGCAGAAGTTGACTATTCACTATTCTGCTAAGTTCCAAATGCAAACAACTATAGCAATGCGATGGTAAAAAAAAAATTAAGCTTAGCCGCACCAAAACAACTTTTAAATTGTTGATAACTCTCTAGCTATTGCATGCATGTTAACTAAAGGTATAAATACCTTAACTGGAAGATAAGAACAACATAATTCAATCATTTTTAAGCTAAAAATGCACAATTTACCCAATATAAGAATAAAAAACTGAAAAACATGGACAGTTAACAGAGTGGGGTATATATACTATAGCCAAGTAACAGAGTAGGTGTATTTCAGCGGCTTTTTAGCATACGAACTAGGATTTTTCTTTTAACCTCTATATATATAATATAAATATGTATAATATACTATTTAAGTAGTTTTGATGCGGAAAGGGAGGTGCAGAACAACATGTTATAGCAGTCCTACATATAAAATTTCAACATTCTGAGTCTACTCGTTTTAGAGTTATGCGAGATACATACATATGTATGGACGCCATGAAAAAAATCTCTTCTGAATCCATTTTAAATCCTTTTTACAACCTGTTTTGGGAAACTATTCTTACATACAGATGTCATGCAAAAACATCATTAAATTAAATTTGATAATGGTCAAAATAGATATTTTCATTGAATACTTTCTTTATTTCATACAAGAAAGTAAAAAAGAAACATTCTATAAGAAACAAAAAGTTTTATGAGGGGGAAAAGGGAGAAAAATTCTATGGAACCAATTATTCATATTTTTAAAACTTAGTAGAATGACAGTTAAATTTAACATGTGTAAATTTATGTGCAATCAAACTTGAATGTAGTACATAGTTGTTTTGCATGTTTATTGTTATGTGTATATTAAAAAAAAACCTCGTATGAACACTGCATGATTTGCTTGTATGGCCTATTAAATTACATGCAATTTATGCTACACTTCTTTTAAACTTATTCCCTCAAGATATTCTAACTAAATTAAATTTCCTCAAAGGAAATCGAAAACGACATAAAAATTTCAAGTCTGGAAATTAAATATCCCGGTCAAATAATGTATGGCAATCAGTGGAGTAGCGAGCATATGTGAGGCCCAGGGCAAAATACCTTTTTGGCTCCCCCCCCAAAAAAAACACAGTGATATGAAGAAAATCTTGTTTGGAGACCATTTGGTGCCCCTCTGTGAGTGGCGCCCGGGGCATCATACACCCCCTTGCCCCCTTCGCAATGCCACTGCTGGCAATCAAACATATTACAATTTTGTTTTTTCATAACAAGTATAAAACGTTCCCAAATATAAGTATAGGAAATGGGAGACCATATTAAAAGTTAGATATCATTATTTGTTGAAAATTAAAATTTTTTCATTTGAAATTGCTAAAACATGAATTTTTTCATCATTTAAAATACTTCTGTAATTGGAAGTAGATGACTATGACCAAGGCCAGGTAAGGATTTTTAAGCCGGGTAAGGGGTTGGGTATATACTATAGATATATATATATATACACACACACATACGTTTGATTCTGCCCAATTACCATAAAAAAGTGAGGTGCATAACTAGTAATCCCATGTATAAAATTTCAATGTTCTATGGCTAATCGTTTTTGAGTTCTGCAAGATACATATATACATACGCACAGACATCACAAAAAAATTCTTTTAGAATCCACTTTAAATCCATTTTACAAGCCCTATTGGAAAAAACAGGCCTTTATTCTGTCCATACGTATGCCATGCAAAAAAAAAAAAAAAAAAAAAAAAAAAAAACTGTTTGAATGGATTCGGAAACAGACAACATGCATAGCTGTATTGAAATATGATACCAAAAATTTTTCATGATTACAGCACTTCTTTTACTTCATATAAGGAAATAAAAATATTGCAATTCTAGCAAATGTTGAAATCAGGTGTGCAGATAATCCTAGAAAGTTCCCAATAAAATGGAAGGTATTTAAGGGAAAGAAAGGATGAATTCATTTTATAAATTCATTGGGAGGCTGAAAATTATAAAAACCATAGATTCCTAAATTATGTGTTAGAAACCCTAGTAGAGAATACATGAGGGTAAAAAATGTGTCAGCAAATATAAAATGTAAATTAAAGATATTAAAAGACATAAAACTATAGCAGTTTAACTCTTTAAAAACCAAAGCCTTAGCTAACCCGTATACTAAAATACCGAACCGTCTGAAATGGTTTTCAAGAGTCACAGAAATTTCTTCCCCTCCCCATCCATTAATGCACAAATAAGAGTCAAGATTTCAAATGGCATCCTTTCTACTTCTAACAAATAAATATAAGAAAAAACAGATAAATCCTTTTAGGGCAAGCTGTCTGCAATAAACTGATACAATGCATTTGGGGGAAACTGCATCATACCTTAGGGAAGGGAAGAAAACAACATCGGAATTTCGGCTGTTAGGGAAGGTTATGGTCGTCTGAATGAAAGGCTGTCTGGGCCAATATCATCTTCAAAGAGTTAAAGTATAAAAATATATTTGTACACATATATATTTTTATACTTTAACTAACTATAAAAAAACTATTCACTTATGTGAGTTTATACTTTAGTGCCATATAAAACTGAGAAATATTATAGACAGGGTAACAAATTTATCATAGCAAAAATTTCCTTAAAGAATTTCATGAATTTTAACAAATATTCTAAGATTTCAAGCATACTAAATTTTAGCATAATTATAAAAAAATTCACAAATGTAAAACTTTTTGCTCTTACTTTCTAATTTTGAATATACTTGATGAATTGTTTTCACCTTTAAATAATTTTAATACTTATACATTCATAAAATTAATGAACAAAAATATTTCACTACGATTTAAAATAAGAAAGTATCTTGCAAAGAAAGTAGTCTTATTCCAGAATTTATAACCTTGAATCACATAAATTTAACTAGAATTGTGAAACAAGCACTGTCCATAAAAAATCTGTTTGAAAATTAAGGCACCACTCATAGATATTGACAAATAATAAGCTTTTCTGTACTGACAAATAATAAATTCCTATAGACAGATTGTGTTTGTGCAAAAAAAATTCTGACAGTGAAAAATCTTTATCTAAATTTAAAAACATGTTACAGAATAACAAAAATGTATGTATGTACATTAAATTACCCAGTCCATGCAAATAGAATAAACAGAAGTTTTGAGCTCATGCATCAATACTAATAATACTGGTAGAATCTGAATGGTTTATAAAATAAGGAACATGTAACATGATGTTTATTAATTACATACTAAATATGTAAATAATGTTTATTAATTATGTACTATATTACACTATTACTCTACATATACTAGATCAGAGGTTCCCAAACTTTTTCAGTTGGCAGCACACTTACAGGTTTAGTATTTTGTCATGGTGCCTTAGTCGTGTTCAATGAAGTATTGTGCAAGGTTTGTGCTTTATAACCTGTTTACTACATAGTGTCATACCAAATCACACCACTTCATTAAATATGACTCTATATTGATACTAGTGACCAGGCACAGAAATAAAAATAACCACAATCTGAAGCTCATATAGATATATATTGAACTGATACACAAGAATATTATATTATCATTATTAAAGAAAAATAGGAAAAAAAAATCAATTAGACAGGAGAGCTTGCTGATCTCCACAAAGTTTTTCAAAGCAAGGTATAAGACTTGACACTGCCACACTCATTTCTTGCTCCCCGTTGATCTTTGAATCATATTTTCTTTTTATTAGAGCTACAGCTGAAAATCTGGTTTCACATAAATATGATATTGCAAAAGGAATGGTTCTCAACCGGTGGTACATAACAGAAAAATAGGTGGTACACTAAGAAGCAAAGTACTTCTAACTATTAAATTCAAAAATTAAAACCTCAACATCCTGAATGAGATTTTCTTCTAACACTCGTAAATTTATGCGATCTGAGCTTTGTTCAAGAGTGGTGGTGGTGGTGGTGGTTGTAATACTTTATAGTGGTGGTACTAAAAGTTTTCAATTTTTGTTTAGATGGTATACGTTATTCAAAAGGTTGAGAACCGTTGTGATAATCCTTAAAGCTTTGGAACTTAGAGATCGATATTCATTTTTGATGATTATCCAATCAGAAAAAGCGAATTTTGTTTTAAGGCTGTTGTTGCAAGAGAGTTCAATAAGACTCTCTTCTTCTCGTAAAGTAATTTCTGTTGAAGCTTGAGCATGGAATGGATTTTGGATCCACAAATATTTCTCAATATTTTCTTCGCAAAGCATTTTGCGAAGCATTCAGTGAGCTTCTAAAGGTGTTCCATTAAAAGAAACAGCAATTTTTGAGAGACAACAAGCTCATTAGAGGAAGCGCGTTTATGCAATACGGGGAAACAATTTCGCCCACTATCTGTATTAATTTTTCTTACCCACAACTGCAGTTTCCTTCTAAACACCGCAGTCTTCTCCTGTAGTTCCACAGTTTGTCAAATATATCGCACAAATATGTCAATTTTAGTAAAAAACCTGTTCGGAAAGTATTTAAAGTTTGCATGTCCTTCCTCTTGCAGAAAAGTGTGAATTTCTTAATGTAGCTCGAATGCATGGGATAAGACATTCCCACATGAAAGTCATTGTCAACTGCAAAAATATAGCATTGTTCAGCTTCCATGTCCATGCAAAGTTTTTTGAATAGTTTGGTTATCAGCAGCCTAGTTTTTATGTAGTTTACTACGTCTATGATATGTCCCAATACCAAATTCGATTCACAGCTCATTTACTTCGATGCAAGTGCTTCCCTATGGATGATGTGATGGGTCCACATAACATGCAGTGGTCAAGATGAGCCCTTGAGACAACTTCTGTTGAAGCGACGCAATGGTCGAATGCGGGCTTCCAGAAATCTCTGGCATCGGATAGCAAAGAATTTGGCATTGCCAAACCCAACCCGAAGTCCGTACATGGGAGGAGAGTAGTGTTGTCAGTTTCCTAAGCAGTGAGCGATTTAGGCAGTGCATGAGATTTCAATTTTTTAGATTCCATAAAAGAGTAAACAGGAGCACCCTTGGGCACTGCAGCACACACTTTGGGAACCTCTGTGCTTTTTAAAATGTTAGTATATCTTAGTATCAAAGTTTTTCAAAAGTTTTTCATGTAAATCCTAAGGCACAAATATTTTGTCAAATTTTTGGGCAGATCTCAGGTTGTGAAATTTTCACAGTTTTCTCCACAGCTGTTTTATAAATTTTGACTGTTCCCTCTTACAATAAAATTACTATCCTAATTAAAAGCAACTACAGTGTTTGAATTAAAATGCAGTACTGAATGTACATACAAGTAATTGTGGACGGCCTAAAGCAGTTAACTTTATTGCAGCAAATCCTGTAGATTGAGTTGTGCCTAAAAAAAAAAAAAAAAAAAAAAAAAAAAAAAAATGCTTTTTAGCTGAGAAGCAGTGGTTATATCATGAAACGGAAAACATAATATAGTGAATAGCATAATGTAAAAGGAATCAAGTCCTATATCTTACCAGCTACAGCATCAATACATTTTAAAAATGTTTCCATGTTCTTTTCACACTGAGCCTCACTTAAGTAAAAATATGTTCTTGCTTTTGCATAATATTTCCGACGATCAGCAAATTCTTCGTATGGTTTATATTTCTTTAAATCAACTATTTCAAAAAAAGAACAAAGACTTTATATTCATGTAAAAGAAAAATTTACATTTATATTTAGGAAGCAAAATCAAAATTAATATTAACTAATTCCTTAAAAAAATATTAATAACTAGTCTTTAAAACATTGTTTTTTAAATTAAAAAAATATTCTATTCACCAAAAATTACATTTATTCTACTCAGTATTTTATACATAAAATATAGCTATGCCATGCAGAACATAAAAGTTGCAATATTACTGAATTTCATACTTTCATCATTTTCTGCCAGATAATTAAAACTTTTTCACAAATTTATTAGAATTTATTATTTGACAATCACCATTACGATAGATTCAATTATTTCTTCTATTAGTTAAATAAGAGAAATTTCTCTTATTATTTAAGATTTCTTTTATTACCAGATCTAACTAATGTAGTACAATAATACCTAAGTTGGAATCTAACGTCACTGCATATAAATACAGATGAATTTTAGTTAAACAGGATTGAAGGTTATAAAAACGCTTGTTTAGAAGAAAGGTATGTAACAAAGAAAATGTAATTTCCAAACATGTCATTATGTATTAGTATTAAAATAAATTTTCTACATAAAAGAATTATTTTGACCTCAATGGTTTCATAAAATTTAACAAATCATCTCACAACTCAATGACTTTTTTTTAATCATAAAAAACTTTTCATAGCAAGCTAATAATTTTTTTTATTACTTGCCTTGCAAATAGAATGATTTAACCCTATGTACTCCATTGTTGACGATAATGCAACATTTAAAATATAAACTTTAAATCCACTGTCACTGCTATGGCAACATGCTTGTTTTGCTTACTTGAGCACTTTTGTATAAACTCAGGGCCAATCCTATCAAGGTGTATGATGGTGCCCAGTGCATGGGCAGTCAAATTTAAGGATAGTGGAATCATTATCAAACATATTATGTTTCTGTAAAAAAAAAGGGGGCGATTAATTTTAATTTGCACGTGAGCAGCTGATGGTGTAGGGCAGTGATGGCAAACCTATGGCACGCGTGTCACAATCAGCACGCAGAGCATCATCAGCCGGCATGCGACTAAAATATTACTTCCATAACCAATAGTCACAATAAAATGATAATATATAATTTAAATAAGTGTTTTAGTCTTTTCTTTAACGTTTCATTTACTTGCTTATTGCATAATGCCATTTCAATTGTTTGGGTCCATCATATTATTTGTTACATGGCAAAAGAATATGCCGAAGTTGAAGCAGCTAATGTTTCCCAAGCGAACTCAAATTTTTTGCAAACTGCTGGTCAGTTTTAATACTTTCATTGTTAAATAGATTTTCTATACTCCAGGTCTTAAACCCTCACAAATGACTCCAGCAAAAAAGGCAAAATTAAACATTGATAATGAATGATCATTTCAAGAGACCTGGACAGAATCATTTGGATTCATTGAACAAAACAGGAAAGTATTATGCATTCTGTGCAGGGAAAGTCACACATCTAGTGTCAGACACCACTTTGACACCAACCACAAGATGCGGAAGGTGTTTATTGAAGGAAAATTGAAAAATTATAATTACCAGAAAGTTGGTTTTTGCAATTATCTTTCTAAAACAAACCGTCTAACAACAGCCAGCTTTCAAATTTCACTGTGCCTGCCAAAACACATGTGCTCCGATGGGGATTTAATCAAAGTTTTGGCCATGCCCCCCCAAAGGTTTTGGGCACGCGGATCCAAAAAGGTTTGCCACCGCTGGTCTAGGGTCAACACTGTATAAACTGATGCATGTGTTTAGGACTGTAACTTCTTCATCTTTGGATCCAGATTTCATTATTTGAATCTTCCCCTTTTTCTTGAAGGCTTTCTTCCTGGTCACAAATCTATTTATACACTATAACTACAAATAACTAGCCAATGGCAGTGTGCCAACCATGGGCCAGTTATTCGTGGTTGTACCATATACACTGATGCATATGTTTATCTTAATATGTTTATCTTAATATGTTAATAGCATTCACAATAAGTGTCTTTCATGTTTCACTTGAAAACTTTGTAAACCCTTATATAAAAAAGAAACACTATTGTCCTGTATACTCTAACAGACAGGGAAAAAAGACATGAAACTAGTGAATTTTGTGATAGTTGTCTTAGGAAACCTTGCATGCATGTAGGTGATGTTTCCAAAAATATCATACCACTATAAATTACAAAGCATAAAATTTTCATTTCATTGAAGATTTATAAACTTGTTTTCTATAATGTAGCTAATGAATAAATATTTTGTTTTATTGCAACAAGTGTATTTTTTATACGTACACTTGTAACTAATAACCGATATAGTGTTGGAGTTGTTTGTTGGTGTACTGTAAGTTACTGGCTGAAGTGCAAAGGGTTAATATTTGGATTGTAATTGTAATATTGGAGATTCAATTTATTTATTCAGATGAGATATATATTTAAAGGTTCAATAACTATTAATTTTTCAACTTTTTTTTCACTTAAACTAAGATATGTAGAAAAGTACCTTTGGATATATGCATCAAGCTCTTGAAAAAACTGCATGCAAAATAAATAATTTTTTACCCTTCTAATTTCAATCCACACCTTGTTTTATTTTTTCATTTATTTTACAGTCAGTTGCATTAAGGATTGATTAATTAAAAAAATTTGTGTTAACTAATTTTCACAGTTTCTCCCTTCTTGTACAGTGTTTTATATATTTTTATGACTATAAATTACTGTCACTTTTAGCTTACTTTCAGTCTTTTACCTGTTGGATGCCAAATTTTCATGTTATTGCTTATTTTAATTGCCTTTACATATATCTTAACAATTTTTATTTTCCTACTATGTTTACATTTCACAAAAAGCTCTGATCATATGCAGTGGTCATTTTTTACTTTTGACAAATTCCTATAAAATGTGATCACCTTCCGCATACGTAATAATTTTTACAGACCGCACCCAACATTTGGCACTCTCGCACACAACAAAATTTAACAGGATAGGACATTTTGAACACATGTTTAAATACTTAATTCTGATATTGGACACTTTGAACCTTATTGCATGCTTTTTTCAAGACCTACAATTTTTTTGCTTCTCCAGAGCAGCTTTGAATTCTACAAGGAACACAGTCTGGTTGTCTGAAGATTTAAGTATATTTTTGATTAGAAGGTTGTCCTCAGATTTCAGTAATTTTGTATTTTCTTCAATTTTTGTTTCTAATTGGTTTCAGTTTTTGGCTGATAAAGGCTCAAATTTGATTTTCTAATTTAAAGAATCTTTATGAAAAGTTCTTCCTTTTCTTGGGATTAAAAATTTAGTTTAGGATAATTGAGAAACACCCAATTTTTTTGTGTTGTTTAAATGACAATTTGGTTTAAAGTACATTTGTTTTGTTCTTTATATCTATCTGCTTTAGAATTTCGGATTTGCATATAATGATTTTAGACCAATTTAATTTTTTTGATGGTCAAAAATAATGTAACTTTTTTTTTTTTTTTTTTTTTGAGTAGTTAATTTAGCACAATATTATATTTTATTCATTTTTCCAAGTGTTTTAAAGGCGTGTAGGGAAAATCCTGGTACATTTGAGATTTGATTTTTTGGTTTTATATGAATTTTGATGTTTTAAATGAAAATTTAATAGATTCGTTTTTTGGTTTTTGATCTCAAATGAACAGGAGAATGAAACACGTTTTTGAAACATATTAATCGACTTTTATGAAGCTTAAATTTATTTTCAAAAGATGAGTTCTGAATAGTTTCAGTTAAAGGAGATTACTTTATATTTTTATTACCTTGTATATTTTTTTCTTTTTCCCTTTTATTTTTAGACATTGTACTACTATGAATTCTTATTTTAATTTTGATTAGTTTTAGATATTGTGTTAAACCTCTTAAACAAGGTTGCAATTATTAATATTGTTGCGGAAATGCCTTGCTTTGACTCTAATTTACTTTAAACTTTAGATGCTTTAAATTTATATATATAAAAGTTTATATATTGTATATATATATGCATGTGTGTCTTATTTGTTTTTTTAAATTAATGTGAACAATGATTAACAAATATACATTGTGATGACCAGTGACACTTCTTTTTTATTCTATCGTCTCAGTGAATTTATACATACTAAAGAAAAATGACATACATACTAAAGAAAAATGACAAACTTATAACTTTATAGTTTAAAAGCCAGTGCTTTTAAAATAGTAGAGCAATGAAATTTTGAGTAACATAAGCTATCCATATTTCATGAAATCATTAAAAATTAATCACCATAATATGCAAAAGGGAAATGCAATTTATGGCAATTATTAATACTTTACGGTTTAGAAAATTATGATATTCTTTATTTTTATATATTTTATACTGGCAATAAAAGAAAGGGGATTAAATTAGTTCATTACATAAAATATAATATACATACATCAGTTGTGGAACTATGTTTCCACGTCAATGAATAGTAAAACTATTTAAAAATCATTACAATAAACTGAAACAGAAACTCCAGCAGACCATTTACTTTGAATAAAGAGTGTAGAGGCCTTTTAAATAATCATGAGAGCCCTTTTGGCAGATAAAGGGAGAAGAAAAAATAAATGAAACATTCTTATAAAAAAATGATTAGTGTAGTTCATATTCTACAACTATATTTAAAATAAGTCATCCTTCTTAGTTATAAGTAACTATGCTACACTACAAATAATGATGTTATCATTTGTTTTCCAGAGCTGATGTTCAATTACATTTAAGACATCCTGAAATAACAAATCTGTTCCCTTTGCTGTATCTGAAGTACAGAACTACAGTAAATATTTTGTTTTAAAATAAATTACCCTAAATAAATTAATATTATGGAAGCATTCTTTAAATGCAAAATTGCTATCTCTCAGTTTCAAATTTTTCTTTTTTCTTAATCAATACCTACACAAAGTACCAGATTACCCATCACTTATAACTGCTAAGAATGCTAAACATTGGGGCATCAAATGCGTTAAAAATTATAACTGCTAAGAATGCTAAATATTGGGGCATCAAATGTGTTAAAAATTAAATAGACTGTTTTCTTGGTGCTAATATCATTTAAAGGGCACCAATATCACTCTATGCCCAGTGAGTTAAAATGTAATCATGTGATAATGTGCATGTATTTGCATTTTAGTTAATTCAGATTTTGTTTCAAAGAAATTCAATTAAATAGCATTTTTAACTGTAAAAATTTTGTATTGGATACATATTTTAAAGGATGCAATTCATGAATAAAATTAATTTGTAATGAAATCTTTATATAATTTAAAATACACATTACATATACATATGGAGTCCAATGAGGAAATTTCTTTACCACTTTTCGTGTCTCCAGACTGATGTGAAAGAGAAGCCCTAAAAAATTAATTTCAAAAATTATTTCAAACTATCAGTTAAAATAATAATGACATTAAACAGAGATGAAGATCAAGAACTATTAAGGAAACTTAGCTGGTTTCCAAATTCTTTTTATTAGAATTGTTGTTAAATAACAACAATTTAGCTGACATTAGCTGACAACTACTGATACATTGCAAAGAATAGATCTCATGACTTATGATTGTTTTCTTATAATTATTGTAGCAAACAGAAGATATTTGAAAATTTTCTGGAAAAATGAGATCCCCCCCCCCCAATTTTAAGGGGAGTAAAAGGTCTAAAAGAGAAGGCACATGGATAGACCAAGTTTATTTACAACACTGATTCTGCAATGAAGTTTTTAAGTGAAAGATATGTAGATAAAAATCATTTTCCTGATCTTGGATATTCTTCCAATTCATACAACTGAATGAAGCTAAAATAGTAAGTAGAGATCCATGTTCTGCTTCTACCACCAAGTGTAACATTTTTTATTTATACTTTTGGCCAAAGTATTATAGAAAATATGAAATCAAATTTCTACACTCATATTTTGAAACACTTCCTGCATGATTTAGAAAATGACATCATCATCATTGAAAATTTATATTAAAAAAAAATCAAAGAAGTAATCTACTGGTTGGAAATCTCTACGGGTGTTATGAGGATATACGTGCTAGCTGAAAGCTAGCATAATATTTCAGCAGAGAAAGATTAATCCACATTAACAGATTAAATCTTTATTGAAAAATTATATAATAAACAAATATTTTGACAAAAATCTAATTATAGACTAATCTTTAGTCATATGTTTTATAAATCTTTACAAAAATAGTAACAATCTGTAGAACAGTAACTTGTTTTCATTGCATTTTACATGCAGGATAGTTGCTAAGATCATTATCATCTGAGTTTTCAAATGTCCCTAATGTCCTTAGCCTACATTATGTTGAACTATTGGAATTTTGCTTTATTTGAACATCAAAAGATGCTAAAAAATTTTTTGCAGTGCAGGTGCCACTTAATACCCAAGTACTGAATTGTCTTTATTTTATTAAATTTCTCGTAATGATACACATATCTCTTAGACAATAACTTAAAATGATATCTGTTACCTGGAAAGTAAAAATATAAACTTGAAAAAGGGGTAACAGAATCAAGAAATATAAATGAAATGAAAAACAAATTGCTTTATAAGGTTATAAAAAAAAAAAAAACCACCACTTTTGCAGACTAATAAAAAATTCAGTATGCTAAATTGATGCACAATAAAATTATGACTGCAGATAAACAAAATTAGCTAGATAATGTAGAACAAAATTTAAGTTTGCTTGTTATGTTTTAGAATTATAAAAAGAAAATACCAGATAAAACTCTTAAACATGGTATGATAAAGGATGTTAATTAACTCTAATTCAGTTTAAAGGTTAAACACTCAAAATTCTCAAAACTTTACAAAGCTAATATATTTTAAGTAATCTCTATTAAATAGTCACATGTGACTGTATTATGAGCAATGCTTAATCCAAGGAACAGGCTATCAAAAGAAAAATAATCTGGGCATTTACACATTATTCCCTCGACTATGAAACTGTCATGAAGCAGCATGATTCATCACCAATTATGGATGAGCCTGATCTAATAACACACTCATAACTTCTGTATTCTCATCTGATGTAACCTTGATTTATCCTTGATAAACCACCTGTTTTTATGAACAAAGATATAAATTAGCTGTTATAGCTGTAATTTTTCTTGTATTCTGAAAAAGTTATTAAAATTTGGGACCTGCATTCTACTAAACAGCACACAGTGGATTATTTTTGAAATATGAGATCCTACCATCAAAAAAGTGCATATTAATGCATATAATATGATCAGCTAAATATGACCAACAAAACAATAATAGACTAGAACAATTACCTGCTTTGGTAAAATCAGAAAGGCTAACAAAACAGTAGAGCTTTTTTACAAAGTTCTACTCGAAGAAAGCTTTTTTACAAAGCATAAAAATGAAGCAGATCAAATACTGATTGTTCATTGATGATTGTTCAAGAGATGTCTAGCCCTATGAAAGGAACAAGTACATAGCTTTGGTGGTTTCTCTATCAACTTTTATGGTTTGATGGCAATCAACTTTCACAGTTGATGGCATTAAATGTAAGTAACAAAACTTTACTTACAAATCATATATTGCATGGTATTTCATGAGGTAATCTCCCCAAAGAATCAACTACTTGTATATTTTTCTTCCCACTCTACACAAAAAGAAAATGTTTCATCTTAAGAAATGAGCAGTAGCAATATTCACTATAAGGTAACTATTAATTGCAGCATCTTCATGTTGAAGCAATGATATGCATGTATCTTGCTAAGCTGGAATGAGCATGCTTACTAAGCTGCATTTGCCATGGAATAACATGCAATACTATAAGAAAATTAAAATAATATCCTCTATTAGTGATTGAGTAAATATCAAAAAATAGTGCCAAATTTTTCACCCAATTTAACATTCGCAGGCATTTTCCTTAGGAAGACACATGAACTATTTGACTTACACAAATATCTTTATTGATTAGATTTAGAAAGCAATACTATTACGAAAACCAGAAAATGCCCAGATAATGATGATATCACAAAGGTCTTTCATCATGCATAGTGTCATGTTAAAATATATCTGTATCTCAATGCAGGTTATTTCTATGATTTTATGTGAGGAATGCTACATTCTCATGCACTGCATTAGCTTGTGAACTATATTATGTTTTTATGTATAGTGTGTAACAAATTACGACAGATTCTTTGAAGGACTGTAAAATAATATACTCTCCCTTTCTCTCTCTCTATGTATATATATATATACAATAGAGTACTTTGTATTTCTAACTAAAATATTTTTAATTCGGTGCAAAAACATTTTATACATAAGAATGCTAATGTTTAGAAAAGTATCATAAAATAACTTACGAGACTACAATTTATTTTCTGTGAAAATCAGTGTGTGATTAAACTACATTTTACACTGTGAAATAAATCTTTCAATGACTTAAATTTTCACAAATCTACTGCATTTTTTCTTTTCATTATCAAACAATAATTTTCAAACATTTTTTTAATGTAGAAAATCTATCTAAAAGTGCTTCTAATAAATATTACATTTTTATAGAAATAGTCTCACTAAAATAGTCACACTTTTGCTAAAAATAAAATAATAAGAGCAATAATAATAAATACTCACTTTTAATTAAAGACATTTTCTAATATACCATTTTTTATATCTGTCATATAAACATACAGAGCTAGATACAGATTTCTAAAATCAAATGGACAACTAATCATATATTATTTCAGATATGGATATGATTTTTTTATAAATAAAAGAAAACACTTTTAATAAATTAGAAAATGATTTTTTTTTAAAGTAGTTACATTACTGATCACTAGTTTACACTTTTCTCGATCTTTCAATAAAATGGTGATACAAAAAGTAACATGATAGCAATATATAGATTTATTTCCAAAGGATAGGCTAGAACTTCAAATATGTTTTTTTTTTTTTTTTCTATATTACTGCTTTTGACCATACAGTACTTTTGTATGTTTTATGTATGTTTTGCTTTAGGACATATTTGAATAATTTGTGATCATAAGAACAAATTTTTTTCACAACAAATTTAAACAGTACAAGTGTACATTTGGGTGCCCCTTATCTTTTCGTGATCCTCTTTTTACGCCAAGATCGGCACCAGGAAGGCACAATTTCAAGATGGCCAGTACACAAAACCAAAATAAGAAGTCAAATAATTGCATAAACTCGGTGTCCATGTACACATCGATCTATTTTCACTTGAAAAAACATCAGAGAATTTCACAAACTCAGCATTGTGCACTGCCTTGACTTTGAGCATGTACACATCAATCTACATATCATTAAAAAAATTAGGAAGCTAAAATCAAATTTAAACTATCAAGGTAACCAGAAATGGGTTTTCATCATCAAAATCGAATAAAATTTGTTGCCAATTGAAGGGGCACCCAATTCTACACTACAGCCAATTAAACTAAAATAACAATCAATTCAAAACAATTTTAACACAAATAAATTAAAAAATAAGGAAAAAAAACACAAAATTAAAGAAATGCAACAATTAAAATAACCCTCTACAAAATTAAAACAAGAAAATACAAATTCACTTATCATTCAAAATAGCTCTCAAAAAAAAAAAAAAAAAAAAAAAAAAAAAAAAAAAAAGCAAAATACTAATTTTAAATTAAAAACTTGAAAGGACAAACATATATAATCCAATATACTTTCATTAATAAAATTATGCCAATCACACAAAGCATGTGAACTAAAATGTCACTACTTAGCTATATCAGACATCTTTTTATGATTTAATATTTCAAATGTTACAATAAAAATTTCATCTGAAGTCAACTTGCTGCAGGAAAACCAGGATCCAAACCTCAAACTTTGTTGAGAACCACATTCTTTACCCTCAACAAGTTTTCTGCAAATCCCTCACAAACACAATTTTTCTTCCAAATCTTCATAACAGAGCCACACTTCTCACATGTCAAGTTCAGCTTCAAAAATCCCATAAAAACTGCAAAAATACACTTGTGCCAGCATGAATACAACCATGAACAAGTGCTTCATTAATAACTTCAACAACATATCTTCTAGAACTAAATGTAGCTTGAATACACTTTAAAACGTGTGGCTGATATACCACCACAATTTCCTTCATGGAACTATATGCCGTTATTTAACACGTAACCAAACAACCACCATGATGAAATACAACCACATTCTTCACAAAATTTTCCACTTAAAAAGGGTTGCCACACAAACAAAATCTTGCCAAAATCTCAACTAAACCATCCAACACAAAATATCACCACATTGGGCGACCACATGTAACCTGTGCTATGACATTTAAGCCCGACTACCATTAAATTGGTGGTCCATTAAGTAGACAACCACTAAAGTTTTTAACTTGTATGCAAGAGTTGAGCCTTTGGTGTTTTATTAATAAATGCTCTTGTGCCATCAAATGTATTTGATGTGAAAAATATTTTGAGCCACTGGAATAGATATCTATACAGTCACTATTTATTGGTCAAGAAGATATTACTCCTCAATTTCGTCAATCATGAAAAATAGAATAAATGCGGTTTGAGCTAAATACATGAATTTATAGGTAGAAATGGGAAAGCTTTGTTACACTTGAAAGTTTTGAAGTTTGAAAATTGAATCGCACTGCATCGATAACAGTCGTATATGACATAGGAGCTTGAATTTGTGAGACTTACAAAGTCATATCAAGTGATACTCATGTTATGATTAGAATGGACTATTCACATGAAATTATGAATAAATGCATTATACAAAATACCCGATAAGATATAAAAATACAATTCCATTTAGAAAAATATACTTTAGTTAATAAACACTAGTTACAGTCCATGTTGCTATATACAATTGGATTAAAAATATATTATAAGTTTATATTATTATATTAAAATACATTATAAGATTTAAGTGACAGATTATACTGTTCTACAAAGCATAATATAAAGTACTATATACATGTTTTTACAATAAAAATAATACATAATTAGTGACAATCTGTTAGCTCTGAGAGAAAACAAAAATTGAAGCATTTTTTAATGCTTACTAGAAGAAAACAATTATTTATTTCATATTATTTAATGCTACTTCCTATTACTTAATATTTAGTATTGCGATGGATTATTCTTATCTTTTAAATGGGTGTTTCACTGTTGGGTCATAATAGACAAGGCTATTGATATGGGTGTACCTTGAATTCATAACCTTCCTGGAAGAACTTATGTGATGCAATCATTGTTCCATTTGTAATTCGTGTATTTGGCAATTTTTGGAGCACCAAGGTGCATTTATAATGGCTCACAACATTTTGTTTTGTAGAACAAGTATTTTCACTCTCTAAATTTGGGGGCTGTTGCCCAGATGGATGCAGCCCCCAAATAATATTGACATGATCAGTGTGAGGTAGAGCATTCTTTTGACTCTCATGACTAATTTTGAATTTATTCTGATTAGGTTATAAACTGCTATGTAAGCTCGAAAATTTCATTGATTACATAATTTCCATGCTTCTTGAAATTAAATTATTGATCTAAGAAGAATCCAAGGTATTTGGTAAAGTGTATAATTGAAATTATTTTATTTTGATCTCAATATTGACAAGCTGATTTTTTTAATATCTACAGGATAAAATGATGCAATGTTTACAGGTATTTAATCTTATTCTCCAGAATACTGATGTTGTAATGTAGATGGTCTGTTGCAAGTTGAGATATTCTTGACTCTGTTATTACAACATTTCATCAGCATAGTTTGGGATTTTACTATTGAATGCTCAGGCATATCATTTACAAATAAGCTAAAAAGTGTGGAAGTGATTACAGATACCTGAGCATGCATTCTTTCTTTCTTAATGGGGTTGGAATTAATGTCATTAACTAAAGATAAATTCTTGTGAAAGTGAAAATCTTCGTAGAAATAATGAATTAGACATTCAAAGCCTAATTTTGAAAATAGATGCGGCTTCAAGAGCCACATTTGATCACCATACTGAATAAACATAACATTCCAAATTAAATACGCCCATTTATGCTCATGCTCATGATTGTGATGTTTAAAAGATACATATCAAAGAAATAAGTAATTGCAACAGGAATCAGCATAATGCATACAACTTGTAATGGACTTCAGTAAGGCAAATTTGCATTTTGAGAAGAATTTTTTTAATGTGACTGAAGGATTCTTGATTGCATTTAATGTGAATGCAAATGAAAACAATTTTTTCATGTTTACATGGTAGGAAACAAATGAAGCAATTTATAAAATTTTTGTTGTTTGCAGCATAGACGGTAGATATCTAAGTGGCAAAGTGAAGAATTAGATAAATTTAGAAAACAACAAGCAACAACAATCTATATATTAGGCCATATAAAAAATTAATTAAAAAAAGGTTATACTTAGGAAAAAATAAGGAAGAAATGTGAAATAATCAAGCAAGGAAATGAAAAACAAAGTAGTAAAACTTCAGAAAATTTATAATAAATAAAGTAAAAGAAAATATTTTCTGATTATCTGCATCTCCCAAAAAACTTAGTAAAGTACCTTAATGATTTTGTGAAAAATATATGGCTAGTTTTACACCTCTCATGTATTACTTCATTCATAAATAATAAATTAAAAAAAAAAAAAAAAACTTTTACGCAAAACAAGAAATTTTATGAGGAAATAACAAAAATCTATATAGCCAATATTTATATTTTTACAGCTTGTAGATTCTGCTCAGGTACAACAGTTAAATATAAAGCATGAAAATCTATGCGTACTGAATTACATGTATGGTACACCCATATGTGGTAACACATTAATCAAAATATACCAAAAGCAAGACAATTCTGCCAAATGTTGAAATTGTGACTGCATATATTCAGAAAGTACCAAAATAATAAATGTAAAGGACACAAATATAATAATAAAACTGTGGTAATATTCAACAGTGGAACAATAAGAAAAACCAACCAAAAAATGCACAAATTTTTAAACAGAAAAACGAACATAATTCAACAAAGAAATAAAATGAATAGCTGCCCAGATGGAATAATGGTTAGGGAAGCCTACTGTGTTTCCGAAGGCATCCAAGTTTGAATCCTGGAGAAGGCATTGATATTTATAAATGTATAGTGTCTTTGCCGCATGGGGACACTCTAAATATATGGTGAGCAAAAAGTTTTCCATATGATTTAGGGGATGAGGAGAGAGGTGAGAGACACTCGTACCTCTCCCTGGGGTGCTCTTCCACAAAACTTGGGTGGAATTAGAAATCCAACTTCCTTAAAAGTCTGACAACCTTTCTTCCATGAAATACATGAACAAGACAAAAACAACAGAAAATGAATGAAAACTATAAAATAGCAAAAAGAATGTCAATTTCTGTTGCTAATCATTGATTCTGCTAGCATTCTAAATCTTTGGCATGCTTTTTTATAACAAGGTTATATGCCCTTCAAATTGCCTTGTTTACATTACATAAACTATAAAATAGCAAAAAGAATGTCAATTTCTGTTGCTAATCATTGATTTTGCTAGCATCTAAATCTTTGGCATGCTTTTTTATAACAAGGTTATATGCCCTTCAAATTGCCTTGTTTACATTTTCTAAAACTTTAATTTTACATTGTAAAAAATGAATTTTTTTTCAAAATTATAATTTTCTATTTAATGTTAGAGCAGTGGTATTCAAACATAACAACAGTGCAAGCCCATAAAAATGGAAAGAAACCCCAAAACCAATTTCAAGACCCCAGTCAGAGTGCCGGCTCTTTACCAGCAATACAGATTTTTGATAATTTTATCTACCTTGCTACCTCATATAAATTTTTGCAACTCCAAATGGAGTCACAACCTGTAGTTTGAATACCACTCTGTTACAGGACTTATTTGAAATTTATAGTAGTATTAATTTTATAAACATAATGTACATTTAACCATATGAATTCTAGTACTTTTCTTTTAAAGTGGTACTATACATTTTCAACACCATATTGGCATATTTTTAGTTTATTACATTTCTATGCTTTTGGCTCAATACTAGAGGCAAAACAGAATGCCTGGTAACAGCACCAAGGAAGCAGTCTTTATTTTCAAGGCAAAATCCAACAACAACTCTCCGATTCTGGTCTATATCACCTTTTTCCTTTTGGTGAGAAAATTTTCATTAATTGCCATAATTTTGTTGCATCCATCAATTTTTAACGTGATAGATTAGGAAGAAATAACTAGATATTTTAGGCAATTATTATGATCAGTCATTGTGTTGTAATTCATTTGAAGCAAGCTTTAGTCTGCAAAATTCAACATACGTTAACTCTTAACACCATAAGTAACTGCACTGTGTAACAGTAAAAAAAGGAATGCATAAGCCAGAAAAAAAAAAAAAAAAAAAAAAAAAAAAAAAAAAAAAAAAAATTGGGGGGGGGTTCCAACACCTTCCCCCCCTGCCGTAAGCAAAATCTGCACAGTTCTTTCAGCTTTAAATCACAATTTAATTTCATGATGTGGCTACATGGACACAGTCTTTTCTTATGAAGAACATTCCTCTTGAAGAAACAGTATAGCATTTCTTTAGCTCTTGAAAAATCCACATTGCAGTTACAAAAACAGATTACATGAAAACATACTTGTATACATGCTTGTATGAATAATGATTATAAAGACAATTATTGGAAGAAAAGAAGCCAAACCAAACTCCCAATACCTAGTGCCAAAGAAATACATCCAAACAAACTAAACAGCAAGTAGTACTAACAGAAAAGTATCCATATTCTTGGATGCCAAATTTTAACAGCAGCAACATTATACTCTTAAAATTGTAAATCACATTCATTATAAAATCCCCATAAAATATTTTATTTTACTTCGAACAGAATCAATGTTACCTGTGCATTGCTTCTTTGGCTTGTTCTTCACTCATGTCTTCTTCTGCACTATAATCTAGAATACTTTTGACACCAAATGATCTCAGTCGATCTAATACTGGTTTAATAGCTTCTGTATCCTCTCCTGCTACAAAGTGACCATAGAAGGTATGTCTCATAATGATTTTAAAAAGTTTAGGTCCTAGAATTTTCTTGCCTTGCATCATCAACTAATAACAATAAAAATGAGATAAATGAAGATATTTAAAAAATATTAAAACTATTTGACTATAAATAATACATTCACTTAGATAAAATTTATTATTATGGAATTAATTACAGCAAAATTGGAAAACTGTAAATAAAAAAATTTAGCTTCTTTTAATTATCAGAAACATGATTTAAAATAAAATTTTTTAATCACATTTAAAATTTCTCCCACATTTCCTAGAATGTGCTCCTAATTCTCCGGTAGAAATAAAATACAGTACAGTTACTTGTATATTCCCACTTTTCCAGCATATTACTTAGAAACTTCTGATTTATAATTACAATGTAAAATGTATGTACAAAAAGGATAGTACATTATGTAAATAAGAAGAATATTAATGGAATCGATAATATTTTTTAAATATGGAATACAGTCGAAAGTCGTTAATCTGGACTCGTCAGGACTTCAGCGATTCCAGATTATCGATCATCAGTTTAAATCTGGTAAGCTGAAATTATAAAATTAAAAATATGAAACCATAATTTATGAAATAAAGAACAATTATGATCTAAAGGGTATCAAAATTTACAAAAAAAAAAGAAAGCTTAATATTTATTTGTTTACTTTATTGAACATTTTTTTCAATGTAAGTTGTTTATGTTGCTTCGTTTAATGTGATAATACTTTCTCTGTAATTCTATAAACAGGAATCATTTCTTGTTCAGTTACAAAGTTCCGCTGTTCAAGTCCTATAATTGCTGTGTCGAAAATACCGACTAATTTGTCAATCGAAATTTTTTCGTTTTCAATAACTTCTGTGTCACTTTCTTCACTATCGGAAGCGAATTATAATGACGAGGAATTTCATTTAAATCATATCAAAGTCGGAGTATATCGAGATGAAATACTACATTTAGTAAGGAATTATAAGCCAAATAAAATAAAAACATCTGCTCTGAAGGTAAGGATAGTATTGACAGATCAACTTCCAATTCATTGCGCGCCGCACCGTTCCCCCCTGCCGCAGAATAGCGTGAAATTGATAAACAGATTTTGGAATTGTTAAATACACAAAGGATTATGCCTTTATCCATTTTTTGCAGCAATTCCACTTTTTGTTTAATGGACTTCGAAACATACTTTCACTTTGTAAATCCTTTACATATTAGTAAATATATATCAAAAATGCTATTTGACATAATTGAAAGTTCAAGCTTACTTTTATAAAATTGCTCTAACAGTCTGCAAAAAATAATAAGCCGGATCCAATTCGAAGATTAAGGAACAACGCAATCTGCATCTTTTAGATAATTTTAGCTTAGCTTATACCGTCCGTTATACATTAAAGGTGCATGCGTAAACGTATTATGCGCATGAGAACAGGCATATTCGCTGCCATAAAGGTCTTACGTGCATGCGTAAAAGCGACACAAGCGCAGAAAGTTTGTAGCTTTGAGGTCCGGATTATAGATCATTCCGGATTATGGGTGTCCGAATTAATGACTTTTGACTGTATAACAGTATTAGTACATCAATTTACATATGCTAAATTTAAGCCTTCTCCTCAAATGTGATTTGCGTTGTATAATTTTATTTTCCTCATGCAATTTTTAACAGCTAAAATTCATAAAGGGAATTTTTTTTTTTTTTATTTCTAATGGCAGATTACAAAGACAACTGCAGACAAAATCAACAAAGATGAAAGAAATCGGAAAAACTAAAAAAAGAGTCCACAGTATAATATATAAATATACTTTGTGTCTCGCCTCCCACTATCCCTCCCAGCGTGATCCAGCAATTAGTGCAGAGCAATGACTCAGATGTCAGGCATTTGAAGCAGTTTACTCAGATGTCAGGCCTCATGAAGTTTGCAAAATTTACAAATTGGATTTGGGATAATGTTCATTCATTGCAGATGTTTTAAAAGGCAATCATGGCCAGTAACAAGACGAAAGATAGTAACAGATCTCTTTTGGGTCTATACAGGAGACTGAAAAATTCTGTTAATACATACTTTTTCAGTAACGTCTTTCTAAAAAGCTTCTCTATGGTTATTTTTGATTGCTCTTTTGGCAGTGTAAAAAAGGGATGTGGCTGCCAGTTGTTTGAAGGATATTGGCCCCTTTCTTCGCCAACCAATCTACATCATCACTTTCATGAAAGCCACAGTGTGATGGCATCCATTGCATGGCAACTTCTTTGACCTCCTGAGCTAAGTTGTTTAGAAACTACTAACATTTTAAAACATCAATGGACATTGGTGATTCAAAAGAAGAAATGGCTAGAAGAGCAGCAGAAATGGCTAGAATCGCAGAGTATGCCAAACTTTGAAAAATGTTCAAGTTAACATTGGAATTGGGATAACACTATGCATATGGCTGTGATCTCAGCATCAAAAACAGTTCTATTCCTTCCAACCGGATCACATAAAATGAAAAAAGCTTTCAAAAGATGACAGTACCTGCATTAATACTGTTAGCCAACACAGAACAAGCCACAAACATATATAGCCAATCACTCTCAGAATATAAAGCATTAATGGCTTCCAAAGACACAGATTTTAAATTTTGGTCATTTGTTTTTGTTCTTAGGACTTTGTGTAACAGATTAATTCTGACTACATATGTTCTTATGCCAGTTAGACATCATGGTTTCACAAAATTGCCAGCTTCCCATCTAAGGCCTAGCTGATCTCTGATGGCAAGGACTGCCTGTAAAAAACTATTCAGAGTTTTAAGTTTTCTCTCTGTGGGTTCAATAGTTTCACAGAGAAAAGCAGTCTGTTCCCTTTAAAATATTTCTAACACAATTAGAGCCACAACATTTTTTTTTCTCAATTTCAGTACTATGAGACTGTGTATATATTAAACAGAAGACAACTAGTAACAGCTTCCTGTGAAAGGCAAGTTCTTAAAACTTTATATCATAAAAAACAGTCTTCATAACAAACTCACTTGTCTTCATAACAAACTCACAAATCTGTCGGCTAAGAAAACTCTTGAACCAACAAAACATGTTTGAGTGAACTCCAATACTGGAAAGCTTTAGGAGTAAAGTATCCCTATGAACTAAGTCATAAGCGGATTTCAAGTAAAAAAAAACTGCAGAAAAGATTTGTTTTTTTTTATCTAATGCATCCTTTACTGTTTGGCTAAGTAGTATAATGTTTTGCCCAGTTACTTGTCTGAAACCAGCCTGTTCATTGGATAGTGACTGAAAATTCTTGACATACAAATTTAGACTTTTTACAATTATCCTCTACATAGTTTTACATAAAATGCTTGAGAATGAAATCAGTCTGTATCCCTTTATGTCACTGTGCTCCTTTTATTTCTAGAGGATGGTGTTTATTATTGATTTACACCATGCTGAAGGGATATAGGCAGTATTTCACACAATACTGAAAAACTTCAGAATAGTATCAGTTGTTTTAATGCCTAAATTCATACGAAATTCAATATGAAATGCATCTTCACCAGGAGATTTATATGATTTTAAATGGCTTAACTCTTTAAAAGGTATCAGTATATAATATATAACAGAAGTTTGTCATTTTAAAATATGCTAATTTTTTTACACTCAAAGCTGTAAGAGTTTCTAGCATTTCCTTTTGATTCTAAATGGCAGTGCTCTATGAATGCTCAATATTTTGCAATTATGAAATTAATATATCTCATTCAAAGGTATCATGTTTGAAGATTCATAAAGTCTATTGGAGGGAAGGGAAAAAATTCAAAATATTCAAATATATGACATACATATGCTGAACCTTATATATTTACTGAATTTCAATCAAAACTGATAATTAAAAGATCATTTATATGATTTTAATACTGATATATAAATATCAGTGATATATAATGATATATAAAATATACCAGTGCACATACTGAGGGTACCTTGTCAATAGATGGCAGCACCAGGCTTCTTCTTCGCTACTCTGTGAGGTGACAGAATTTATTTATATTATATATTATAATTGTTTATGATTTAATATGATACAGTTGTTTATGCTTAATTTATAAGTTGTTGGGATTAAATATTTTATGTTTGTGGGATGATGGGGAGTTTAATTACCCTGTGCTAGGAATGAATAGAAGTATTTTAGTTCCTTTTTACACTTTGCTTACTCCAGTAGAATTTTCATACACCTAAATTTAGCTAAAATTTTAATTTCACCCTTTTTCAGAGAAAAACTCGGCAATTTCACAATTATCATCTGGCGTTGAAACGTTACACAACTGTAAGGGTTAAATGTGCCATGTTAGTCCTGAAAGTCACCCGCTGCGTCATGTTTCCAAAACCCTAGAATGCAATGAAAATGAAAAGAGGTGACCGATGGTTGATTTGGTCATATTAGTTAAGTTTTGATAAGATCATACAAACCACAGCAGGGTTTTAATAAGATAACACAAAAGGGAAGCTCACTCACAAACACAGGAAATATGCATGGGCTTTAAGTTTTCACTTGATAGTGGAATGGAAAATCTGCTGATCTGAAAGGATGCTTTTATGCTTTACGGGATCGTCTTTGTTAATTTCAGGTGAGAGACTAGAGAAACAAGAGAAATTCTTCTCCTAGGCAAGGATACAAATAGGCGGTTTTTGAAATACGTCTTCACAGTTGGTGAAAGGGGAGAAAATATTTCTAAGGCCAGTTTTAGACGTAAAATATTTATCTTTGGAAGGAAAATATCCACTGGTTCCAGAAGGCCCATGGGCCTGCCAATGGAAAAAAAAGGGGGGCTTCAGGATGCGTTTGTATTTTGTATCATCAATGGTGGTATCATCAATGTGCCTAAAAATATATCTTTTATTTCTACATTTTAAATTTCTAGAGAAATTTTAGAATTTTTTTGACTTCAGACTTACATAATTACATTCACACATCAAAAGTATGCAAAAGTAGATTTAAAAAAATAAAAATTAACAATTGGCATGGGGAAAAAAAATGCCTTACAGGGGTATTAAATATACATTGTGGACCTCAAAATTCAGAATTTCACTCTAGATTTTTTTTAAATTTTTTTTTTAAAGTCTCAATTTTATGTTCTTGGGATCTATAAATTACAATTCATGCACAATTTAAATACTTTTATATACCACCCATGAAAGGGTTAATGCCACAAAGAGTTCATCTATGGTGATTGGAGTACTAAATTAGGAAAGGGAATTTTGCAATTGTGAATGGATCTAATACTAACTTTAACTAATTTTATCTGCTTTCTACAGAAATCAGATTTGTATTGTCTGTTAGAAAAATGTTGCACAAATGCCTTCACTATTCTTTTACTTGAAGTAACAGACATTCCATTCATTGAGAATGTTTTTTTTAAAATGGTCTAGAATTTTTAATTTTTTCAAGAAAATTATATGTTCTTTTCCCATATTTTCGCAAGTTTATCTTAAATAAAGTTATCAAATGATTTTCTTTTCTCTGAGAGAACAATTTTCTTAAACAAAGCAACTTGTTTTTGCCAAGCCAGAACATTAGATGGATGTTCAGTTACCTTCAGGTTTTCTTCTTAGCCTATTTCATTTAGCTTTCATCATTAGAAAGGGAAAATATAGAAATAAATATAATAATACAGTAAATCCTTCTAAAATGAAAAATTTTTACAAAGGCTGTACAGGTCCAGAGAAATTGTTATAGAACTTTATACATATTCCTCAGCATAAATACCTCTCCATAAAATTCCACAGAAATTTTAGAAAACTTACATAGAAAGTAATTCTATTGAAATTTTACTTTTGAAAATCATCACAAATTTTTCCATTGTAGAACAGAGCCATTGTAGAACAGAGCCTATAGAAATATGCAAAGTTCTCAAATTGTAATCAAAGCAAATTTTTAGTTTCTGATGAACAATATGGGATACAGACAAGCAAATATATGCACTTTTTATTCATAAATGTTGAACCATTTTTGAATGGAAACATTTTAATTTTTAGTTCCTTTTCTCTTCCCCCCCTTTTTTTTTTCAAGCTTCTAAATTTCGGTAACATTTTGCAATTTTTTAAAATAGAATTTGTATATTTTCTGTGTTACAAAATTTTTGTTACAGTCTGTATTTATACAATACAAAAATAAAACCTTGCAAAAGCATAAAATCAATTTAAATTATAAAATTATCTAGCATATAAAACTTATGCTGTTAATTATAAAATTTTAATTCCCAAAATTAGAGCTTTTTAATTATTATTAATTATTATTCCTAATAAAAGAACTGGTTTCTTAATTTTAATTAGACTTAAGTATTACTTAATACATATTTATTTTTATTTAAACAGTTTTTTTTACGAAAAAAACAATACTGAAATTTTATTAGGGAAAAATATCACATCTCTTCTAAAAGTTTTTATTCGCTCAAAAGTTTGACATCACAGATCATTTCAAAATTTAGATTTAAAAAAAAAAAAAAAAACTATTTAAAAATGACTTATTTTTTTTAATTGCACAAAAAATTTTGCTGATCTTATAATGCTTCTAAATACTCAAAACCTTCCACAGGATTTTTTATAAAAAATCAAAGCAAGGAAAATTATTTGTAATTCCTCAAAATTATGGTACGATATTCTATAAATTGGATCTGATATTTTCAATAGAATCCTATTAGTTGATTATATACATGAGACCTAAATATCCATAAAGAATTTTGGTCTTCTTTGGAGGTGGCCAACATAGAGCGAGGATGTTTAATAATATCATTGTTTGTTTACATTTCCAGAAAAATTATATTCATTTTTAGATGCGCAACCTTTGAGAAGTGGTTACTATCAGAAAATTTACCATATTAACTTAAAAAATAAATAAAATTCACCATATTAAGCGTTTACTAAGTAGTAGTTCTAAAACGAGAATCACCTAAAGTTTAAAATGTACAAGTATCAGTTCGTTAACATAAATTACAGTTTCAATTAATTATATTCATAAAAGAAATACAATTTAACCCATATTGTCTGATCTTTGGAATATGGTAACAGGTAGTTTGGCGACATTTTGGAGGCGATAAAGGTTACTACCTAGGACTTTGGGAATAATGTGAGAAGTACTCAGTTCCGATTATGCATTATTTTGTGTGAGGGAAATGAGAGATCATGAGATATGTCATGTGACATTAATGGACGAATCACTGTTCTTTAATCGGAAAAGGGGGTATATTTGTAAAAATATCTGCTGTACTTTATAGCAGTAGTTTCATTCTATGTTCTGTGAAACAGTGTTGTTTAATATTTGGATTCCATGGCCCTATATAAAGTAAATCCGAAATTTTTTTTGCGTTTATGTGTAATTGAAAAGAATTGCTTAATTGCGGATAAGTATGAATGTTTTTAACATGTGGGAATGAAATGAGATAAAAGAGAGATTGTGTGAAAGGAAGGATATTACAGATAAGTTTGAATGACGGTGCAAGAAACCTTAGTGAAAATGGACATTTTGTGATCCGCCATGCACTCAAGATTCTGTAGAAGATTAGGTAAGTTAGTATTTTTAATTAATTTGAGGATATTGTTTTAATGGAATAAATTCTATATGCTATTATTGGAGTAAATAAAGTAATTAGGATTGTAAGCTAATTTTTATTAATTTAAAGTATGTGCTTATTTATATTTTAAGTAGTGTTTTTTTGAATTTTAATTATAATTATTTTAATTAAATGATAGTTATTTTGTGAATTATATGTTTGTAGGAATTTGGTATACATTTGAGTGGAAGTAAATGTGCATGGAAATAATTTAAATATTTGACACTAAGTATTTGTAATGTTTGCGGTATGAATTCTTGGTAACGTTTATAATATAATAGATAATTTAGAGGTAAAAGTTTTTGGATATTTTATTTATTTTATACGTGGAAATGTTCATCTTTGGAAAGGGTATATACTTTTTCGCAATCAGGTAATTTCATATATGTTCTTTTTACCGGATTTAAAGATTCAGAAAATTGTCATGCATTTTTGTGAAATTTTTCTAATTTATGAGAAAAAAGCAGTGTACATATATATAGTGAAGAGTGTGTGCAATGCCATTTTTGTGCAATTCTGAGATTTTTTTTATATGAAAATTAGTCGATGTGTACATGGTTTAGTGATATTTTAATTAAGTGATAGTTATTTTGTGAATTTTATGTTTGTAGGAATTTGGTATAGGTTTCAGTTGAAGTAAACGTGCATGGAAATAATTTAAATATTTGACACTAAGTATTTGTAATGTTTGCGGTATGAATTCGTTGGTGACGTTTATAATATAATACATAATTTAGAGGTAAAAGTTTTCGGATATTTTATTTATTTTATACGTGGAAATGTTCATATTTGGAAAGGGTATATACTTTTCGCGATCAGGTAATTTCATATATGTTCTTTTTACCGGATTTAAAGATTCACAAAATTTTCATGCATTTTTGTGAAATTGATCATGCTTTTTATAGATTAGAGTCCTCTAATTTAGAGCTGATCAAAAAGATAAATTTACACAAATAATAATAATAAACTATATCTTTTGGCAGGAATATTACATTATACTGATTATTTATTTTCTTTATAATATTATAGAAATCAAGTGTAAATTCACTGCATTCTTCTATTAAAAAGTAATCAAAAAGTATTGGAAAACTTTCGAAATTAAACACCACGAGCAATTATTACTTATCTCAGATACATATTATTTGCATGCAGTGGAAACAAATAATGGCTCAAATTTTACCTTTTCATGATTTTCAACTAAATAATCATAAGTGCTTAATTTAAGCACAAACAGTCCTCGAATTAACTCCCAGGTTGTCTTGCTCTTAAAAGCATCTTTCGTGTTTTCAAATGTCAGATCTAGAGAATCTCTTTGCGGACTAGATGATGCCTTGTTTCTACTATTAAGAGCAAAGCTTCGAGATACATCAATGGTAAATTTTAACCGTGAATATAACTCTTTTACTTTTGAAATCTTGCACGAATTGTTATGAATAATTAGTGTTCGCCAGGCAATCAATGTAACGGCCATTCCATAAAAATTTCGCTCAATATTAGTGCTTGATAAAAACAGTATCATATATCTCTTACTTTTCTTTCAAACATACTTATTTTTTAACCCCGATTAAATTGTACAACTGCACTACTAGTGAGTACTATTCTATAGTAGTGAGTATCTTCTAATTAATTTGTCAAATCAGTTACAACGGAATAGTATTCCAAAGTTTTCCATTTTTGTGTACCAACAGAGAATTGACAGTTGTATCATATGATTGCTAAGACTTTCTGCCTGCTGTGAATTAAACAATCCACCGCGCCATCTATAGGTAAATTGAATCGCATATAATAATTAATCTCATTCGTCTTTTATAAGCTGTGTAATTAAAGTTCTTTAGAGCAACAATATCCTGTCCGCAATCGACGTTTCGTTCGAAAAATAATATAACCAAATGTATAGATAACGATTTCATTTGTTTGCGATTTGGAGAATATTTAACATAATACAACATGAATTATTTGTTTGTTTCTCACGAAGTCTGAGTTTGTTCTGTCATACTTTCTGCAATCTGAACTTACGGTAGAGAATATGTAAGATTATAAACACTTTACTCAGTCTGTTCTAAATTTAAAATGTGCTGATATATTTTAACCTAGTTCTTCCTCTCTATTATGTTTCTTTATCGCTGTTTTGAATACAGTGAAATTTAATGTGCAATTTTATTATTAATAATTCTTTTTCCTGCGATAGTCGAGCTGTCATGTTTGAGGGAAATTACAAGTTAAAGTTTTCATAAGAATTTTTATTTTATTATTATTATTTTTGCCAAGTGTTGCACATGTAATATAATTTATGTTAAAATCGTAAATGTATTCCATTATTTTGATAGACATGTAGCAGATTTTTCTAGTAATGGGGGACATAAGTGGACGCTTTTTTTTTTTTTTTTTTATTATGTTTTTTAATCCTAAAATACTGTGTGGATTTGTGATGTTTAGTATGCTTGTGTGAGATTTTAATATTTCACTGTCTAACATTTGGCATATTTAAGTAAATCTGCGCCGAATCAAAAATAAAAAGGAAAGGTGAAGACAATTGATTTGTTGTTATTTTTCGGGTGTTGGACCCTGCTTATTTTGCATCTAATTTGTAATGCATTAAAGTTTTCTTAATTCTGAATACTGATGAATTATTAACTTATTTGGAAGTATTTAATCAATTTGTGTTAAGTTTGTTTTGCAAATCGTTCTATGTGTTTTTATAAAAAATATGAACTTAGCGTTAGTCCATTTATTTTTAGTTTTTGACATTAAAAAGTATTTCTTTATCTTAAATTTATTTCTTATCATTTAAAAGTATTTCTTTGGCTAAAATGTATTTTTTCCTTGCAAAAAGTATTTATCTAAATTACATGACATGTCATGCATATATAATTTGGTATAGCATAAGTTTTATTGTAGATATGAAAAACATGATACTCTTCTGTTATCAGGACTGTATTCAGAAATGTATGTATGTGTTCATGTGTGCATGTATATGTTCGTATATGTGTATATACATATATGTGTGCACATACATATATATACCCATGTGCACACATATTTCTGAATCTCTTCCCAAGAACAGAAGAATACCAAAAATATTCTTCATTACATTTGTTTCAGGGTCAGTAGATTATTTTCAGTTTCTGCTTCAGTTATAGGTTAAAGAATTTTTTTTTTTTTAATTAAAATCTGAAGAAAACTATTTCTTGGAAAGGTAAATTAATTAGTACTATATTTTCTTGTATACTTTAACCTCTAGTTTTTTTATCTCCAGATATTAATTTCTTTTTTTTAAATATACATGTTATTTTCTCCTTCCTGAATGTGTTCAGAGATCAGACTTCCCTAAATTTTAAAATGGATTCCTCCACATAGTTACTGTTTCCATTTTATGAAGTTGAGCCTTCGCAAAGGTCACGCCAAAACTTTCTCTTCTAACTACTGAGCTTTATGCCAGCTGAATACAAAAATGACCCACCACATCAAAGTAAACACGAACAGGCATTCAGACTATGATTCTCTCAGTCAGCTGCACATTCACCTTCTCTGATTATTTATGGATGACTTGAGACTTATGTAATAGCAGAGACAACATTAAGAATGGGTGAGATTCATGTTACTGGGAAGATGTTAGATATTGTAATGTTAATATTACTATGTATTCTTATTGGGCTCTTAAGTTTCTTTTAAAGAAATAATATTATGATAGTTACCTGTAATTTATCCATGACTATTTTTGATTTATTAGGTTTTAATTGTAGCTGCATGCTTTGTAAATTAAATTATTTGCATAATTTTGCTCTAAACTTTCAGGTGATAAAATTAGTAAAAAAAAAGGAGAATATGCATGTTAAAATGTGGTATTTTTAATATTTGGATGCTCATTCCTTCAGCCAGCTACAGATGTGTCTAAAATATTTAAAGTGTAACATTTCAAACTTTTGACTACTTGTTATTATGAAAGAAAAAATAATCTATATGCTATGCATTTTTAAGAAAATATTTTCTTCACTTTTTTGGTATTTTGAAAACTTTTGTCATTTTGAAAATGATGAATTATTAAATTTCTGACAAAACTTGTGGTTACTTTGAAGTGTCTTCAGATATGTAACTGTTAGTATATTGTGCTTAACAAGTAATAATTTCCAGATGCAGATGATAATCCTTTTGATGTATTTTTATTTAAAACAAAAAATTATACAAGGGTCATTTAAATGAAAGTGGCACTACAGTCAGTTTGAGAAATGGTTTAATGACATTAATTTAAATAAGTATACAAAAGAAAGGAGTAATACTGATGTAACAGACAGACTAGACAAAATCACTTTGTAGTTTGAAACAGGCGTCCCAACTGTCAATGAGATGATAGATATTGTGGGTGAAGAAGCTTCACGGTTGATTGTGGAACCAATATTCAACGGCAGCTTGGACTTCATTATCATTGACAAATCACTTTCCTTCAAAGATTTCTAGAGTGGATCGAAGATGTGGTAGTCACACGGTGAGAGGTTTGGGCTGTAAGGTGAATGTTTGACATTCCACAGCCACATGAGGATGAGCATTATCGTGCAAGAGGATAACCCTGCGTGACAGCATGCCACATCGGCGGTTCTTGATATTGTCTCTGTTTTCGTAATGTGGCATGGTACATGGCAGCAGTGACAGTCTTGCCCGTAAGTAGCCATTTCAACAATAGTGGGCCATTGACATCAAAGAAGCATGTTAATATGACTTTATCAGCTCTAGTAAACGTGTGAGCCTTCTTCGAGTGTGGGATAAAGAGTGTCACAATTTCATGAAAGTGTCACCATGTTTCATCAGCAGCAATAATCCTTGAAAGGAAGTGGTTCCCCATTTCATCGTAGAGCATAAGGTATTGCATGTAAGTAGACATGTGATGAATCTTCTGTTCCTCTATCAAATGTTTTGGCAGCCATTGCGCACAAACCTTGCGGTATCATAATCTTTCACGCAGTATTGTGTGCACTTTTCCTATGATTATTGACATTTTCTCCGCTATTTCCAAAGGGGTGATTCGCCGATTCATTTCCACGAAACGGTGCACATCTGCAACTGATCACATACACTTGACCAGGTTGTGGCCTGGCGCCAGTACTGCTTCTTCCACTATAAAAAAACACTACACCATTGGAATACCGATCTGTATTTCAAACACTCCATGCTATATTCCAGTCATGCAATTTTGGTGTTTCATATGCACCAAAATTGCACAACCTCTCATTGAGACTGTTTGGAGACATCCATGATGCGAACTAACATGCTCTGATGCTATCACACACGCATCTCGCGGGATCTGACAATATCACATGCACTCCCAGCATTCTGTGCCCTCTATACTGGCATGCACAGTCATCTTTCTCTTCAAATGGGGTGTGGATAGTTAGAAAGAACTGGTAATACATATGTTACTCTTCTGTTATCAGATTTGGATTTAGAAATTTATGTATAGATGCATGTGTGTCTGTGAATATATGTCCTACATATATATAGTATGTGCATACATGAACACGTATATCCGAAAGTGCATGCAGACATATACAGTACAAAGTCCGTAATCTGGTCTCATTGGGACTTCGGCGATTCCGGGTTAGGGGTTTTTCCGGATTATAGATCATAAATTTAAATCTGGTAAGATGGCATGCAGAAATTATACAATTAAAAATATGAAATCGCAATTTATGAAATAAAGAACAGTTATGATCTAAAGGGTATTAAAATTTACAAAAAAAAAAAAAAAAAAAAAAAAAAAAAAGCTTAATATTTATTTGTTTACTTTATTAAACATTTCTTTCAATGTAAGTTGTTTAAGATGCTTCCACAAAAAGTTCCTTTTTCTTGTGTCATATATAGTGGACTTTCCAATGCCACACTTCTCGCATAATTTTGAGTTGGATAGGCCTTTATCCATTTTTTGCAGCAATTCCACTTTTTGTTTAATGGACATCGAAACATGCTTTCACTTTGTAGATCCTTTGGAAACTCTTTTTGACATAATCCAAAGTTCAAGCTTAATTTTTATAAAATTGTTCTAACAGTCTGCAAAAAAAAAAAAAAAAAAAAAAAAAAATAATAATAAGCCAGATCCAGTTAGAAGATTAAGGAACAGTGCAATCTGCAACATTAACTGAAATGCCTTAGATAATTTTAGCCTACCTTATACTGTCCATTATACATTAAACGTGCATGAAATTTGTAGCTTTGGGGTCTGGATTATGGACGTCTGGATTACAGACTTTGTACTGTACACATTTCTGAATCTGGTCTCAACGACAGAAAAAAAGAATACATAGTACCAAACTTACTAATCGTAGCTGAGTAGTTGTTTTTAGTCATTAAAACAGCAGAAGGTCTAGAGCTTTCATGTTAAAAGATAAACCTTGGCGACTGACAAGTGATAGCCCCTTAAGTGTCAGTTTTTCCATCAGTTTATTCAATTGTTGGCATCAATGGCTTGATTATGTGGCAGTCCTTTTTTTATGCGGAAGGAGCCAGCTGTGCTACATGACACACAATCCATGAGCATTTGACATTGCTGTAGAGTATCAAATGTCGTAATTCATTCAAAAATTGGTTCATTTCTGGAGCAAGAAAGCAAAGAAAGACATGACTGGCTTTCATCTGACGTTACTTTTCAGAGGACTCATATAGAACACACTGATTCAACCACGTGATGAACTCAAGCACATGTGTTTATCTTTAAATTGCTGTTCTGAGTATGAATAACAATTTTTCTACCCTTCAGAGGCTCACTTTTTGTGAGTATGAGGGTAGTATTCCCACGGTACCCTAGCCCTTCAGGGGAGAGAAACTGGAACAGCCCTTGTCACTAGTTTTCAATTTGCAAGAATTTGCCCATGTGTTTGCAGTACCTGGAGACCCGGGTCACTGGAAAGGAGCATCCTGGTAATTGATGAGGGAGATACTGTCCCCAGCACACTACTTTGGCCTCTGCTTCAGCTAAATGGGAGGCAGCTTGTCGTCCTCACGGGTGTCAGTCAGCTGGTCACTAGTCTTTGTGCTAGCAG